CTATGGGGAAAGCTTTTCCTCATCAACTCTGTAAGTCAAATACTGCATCATGTTGTCATTATTAACTGATAAAACGTCACATGGAATAGGCCCAATGAAAAAGCAGGTAAATAATGGAAGCCAGGTATTAACGTCCCTGTTTGGTTTTTGTTAGTGGACTGGATATGACAAATAGAAAATGTTATATTCAGCATTTATGTTTAACAAAAAGCACCTTTTACTTGTTGTCCATCATGTATTGAGGTGAAACATCTCAGATTAAACCCATATCATGAGCAGGTTCACCTTTAGTGTTCAAACACTGGGGAAATGTTCCTGGTAAAAACGGTTTTCCATTTTACAAATGGATGGAAACCACATGAATGCACCATAAGTTTAATTTATTTCCTCTTTACTTCAGTGAGAAAAGCATTGCAAACTAATTCCTTCAAATATCTGGTTACAATATGCTGGTAAAATCCAAATAATCTCTTTTCATTAGTGGTGAAAGATGCATTCATTTTTGCACAATTTTCATAATCTAATGACATTATTTTGATCAAATCACTATTTAATAAGGAAAATAATTGTTAGTTGCAACCACAAACCAAAGTATTGCATTCAAAAGTACTACAGTATCAGCAGCATAATTTAGCAATCCATTATATTTATGAACATAACATCAAAATATTTATCTGTAAAGTAACTATGACCAGCAGTGTATGCAGCACAATGAAAAGTAATGGAGTATAAAAGTAAAGTAAGTAAAATAAATGGTAATTCTCAAGTACCTCAAAACTGTAGAAGTACAAGTCAACACTTCAGTATAGCTTAAATACTTATAGCAGTGGTTCCCAACCTGAGAATCACCAAAGTTTAGATTTGGGGAACTAAGAGTATTACGGCCAAGCATCAGGAACAAGAAAACACTGAATTAATCAAAAAAGATGCCATTTAAGTTTGTATGATTTGATCAAAATCATTAAAAAAAAACATTATATTGAGAGAATTGTATTAAAAAAAAGTTCCCTAAACAGGAAATAATCCACTCAAAATACATCAAAATCACTTGTTTGACACAAACTTCTTGCAGTTACTCAGTTCAGTGTTTGGGTTAATTGTACAGTTTTTTATATAATATTAAATAAAATATATATCACTGGAGCAGTGGTCGTCAGTGATAGAAAAGGAATCCTTTAAGGACTAAATGCTGGGAGACACTGGCCTGTTAGTCCTTCTACAACTGATCAGAAACTACTGCCTGTAGAGCAGAAACATTAATGTAAAGTGTGAATACAGGAAGAAACTCTGCACCTCCAATGGTCACTCATTGTATGAATTTGGAGAAGTACCACAATACACATTTCCTAAAACTGCAGCCTGAACTCAGCACTTCTCTGAGTCCCTGAGGCTGGAAACCTTCAGTTAACTGAGGCTCATAAAACAAACTTAAAAGCTGCAGTCTGACGGTGAGTTTTCTTTAAAACAGAAACTATATAAAAGATAAAACGTTGATGTCTGAGCGGTTTCACCTACCCGAAGATCTGAAGACACTTTAGAGACAGTTCACAGTCAGTTTTGTGGTGAATAAAGTGAAACCAGAGAGCAGAGACGGGCTCCTCCACTGTCAGGACATTCCCAGGAGTTTCTGAACCCACATAACAACATCTGCACGCAGGAGGCGTTCAAGGGCTCCTACAAAGCTCCGAAATCACAACTCTCAAGTCACATCTGACTCAACCGCTTTGGCTTGTGTTTCTTTTTTGTTGCATACAGTATTGTGAATTGGGTTGGGTTAATTTACATCACAATGAGAGAGTTACTTTAACAGTAAATAACAGAGTTAGTTACTGAACTTTACTTATTACTGAAAAATGTCTGGAAATTGAGAAAAGCTTCTGTCAAGATCACTTTTAATTTTATTTATTTAGTTTTTCTTTGCTTGTAATGTTTAAACACAGTTCCCTTTACCAGGCCCACTAGGGGCTAATGCTTTTTATTTTATTTTTCTATGTATATCGGATTTATTCTATGTATGTGTATATGTAGGCCTACGTATATAACTATTAGATTAGATTAGATTAGATTCAACTTTATTGTCATTGCACAAAGTACTAAGACAACGAAATGCAGTTAAGCATCTAACCACAGTAAAGTGCAGAGTAATGTGCATATGTACAGGGATATAACAAAATTAACATTTTAGATATATATGAATATACTAGCAGGATATATACAGTATTAATAGCATTAACACAATGAACTGAGTGAATACACTCAGATATATACAGCTATTAAGTTAAGATATTTACAGTATGAACAGATTAGCAGTAAATTATATGTATTCTGAGCATTTCTTTTGACATGATTAAAGTTCCTATTTTATATTGTTCTATTAATTGGTCACATTTTAGATAACAACACAATAAGATCTCTAAAATGGTGTACGATTTTAATAATACAGTGACATATTTGTGCTTGAATTTCTCCTATGGAGGATCAAAAAATGTACATCTTATCTTGAGAAGTTAGGCCTATTTTACCAAAGGAAAACAAGGTTTTAGAAAAATATGTTTAATATATCTTTCTAACTTCAGGACTAAAATACAAGTATCACACTGGTTCTGTATTGATATATTTTTAATAACCTGCCCTAATGTCAACATCCTGTTTCATTTGGAAATATGTCAAACTACACAATGACTTTAAAAAGACAATAATGAAACAAACAAAAATGATGTATAAATGTGAAACAGAAGCATCCAATATTATTTAAATGCAAACCAATAACACATCACTGTTGACATCTCAACTACATGCACACTCAACCTGTCCATCTCATGTTCCCATGTATTTACCTCTTGTACTTGTATAGCACCTTTCTAGTCTTCCGACCACTCAAAGCGCTTTTACACTACTTGCCACATTCACCCATCGAACAGAAACTAACTCATTCATCTTCAGTATCTTCAGCATCTTGCTCAAGGATACTTCGACATGTGGCACCAGGAACGACCCGCTCTGCCTCTGAGCCACAGCCGCCCTAAGTAATCCAGATATTTCCGACACCACCCAAAGGCAACAGTACTTACAGGTCGAACAAAGCATCTAAAACAAACCAAAACACGTGCTGAGAGCTTCTGTGCCTCAGATCCTCCCAGTGAAATCACCTGTTACATAATGAGGCGACTTCCTAACCGCACTAATGATCTTAGTCATCAGATCTCCAACCGAGGATGAAAGTCAAATATCTTACCTGGTTTTTTGCAGTCGGAGAAGATGCGCGATGTGTCTCCTTCCTGGCTTTGTGGCGGCGGTGGACTCACCTGGGAGCGGGGCGTGCTCAGTTTGAGGTCTACCTGTGTGTGTGTGTGTGTGTGTGTGTGTGTGGGAGGGAAAGAAACGCGTTTCCCAGCAGGTGTGACTCTGACTCATCAGTTTCAAGAGTGTTAACAACGCGTAAATAAAAACCCAAACGTGATAGGAACTGATCCCAAAATAGAAATGTTATAGTCATCTTGGCTGACACATATTATATCAATCAAAGTGGGGAAAATAAATAAAAAGATTTTCTGATCATTTGACATCTTCTCACATTATATTTTTCATTACTACTTTTGCTAATTTATATTTGCTGAAAATATTATTTCTATAAATGATCATAAACTAAGACTTCTCCACAATAACTGGGAAAATAATTTAGATGAAGAAACACTAAACACCTTATATATGACATACAGTCTCTGAACTGAAGTATTCAAAACCTTATTTAACTAAATAAGTAATTTAAGGTTTGAAAAGTAAAACTCTTAGCAGGGTTAAGGTTAGTAGTGCAGTAAAAAGGAATTTTTTACTATAATATTTGATGTTTTTGGACTAATATCATTGCTGTGGAGTTTTTACTTGGAGTGGAGTTTAAAACTTGTTTTTCACTGGACAAGAAGGGGATGAAAAATGTAATCTGAAAAGTAACTAAAGCTGTCAGACAAATGTAATGGAGTAAAATGTACAATATTTGCCTCTGAGATGTAGTGTACAAGTATAAAGTTGCATACAATGGAAAAACTTATATATCCACTTTGAAGAGCAACAACCTGAGTGTGGTTTGTTTGACATCACTGCTTCAGCACAGTGCAGGTTTGTTCTGGTTGGGCGTGGTTGCCGCTGCATATCTGGCACACACAACTGCTACTTAAGCTGACTTGAATCAACTGTTTCCTTGCGTACCAACAGCATGGCAAACAATACAGACTAATAATATAATAATAATGTACTTTTTTTGCCTGGTTTTCATAGATTTTTTTTAAAAAGATTTTGTATTAAAAAATAATTAGAATCTGCCTTAAAATGCCAAAATCTCAGAACTTAACATTCTTTCTCAGATCTTTAGATCACAACAAAATATTAAAATACTGTTTATCTTCTGAAGAATCCTGAGGTAAAACCATAGAAAAATATATTGAAACTGCTTCAAGATTAGTAAAAATGGGGATTTTATGTGACAGTAGTCTTTGACTTGTTGAATATACTAGTGTTTTATTTGGTCTAAACACTGTAATTCACTCCAATGTGAAGGTTTCCTCTCAAATCAAAGCTGCATTAAGTAGAAGCACTCATTGTTTTCTGTTAAATATTAATTATTCATGTTTTATCTGTCTCACTCTATACAGAAAATCACTGAATACCTGATATTTTGGGAAAAAGTGGCAAAATATTGACTGTAATCACATAAATTTATCCTGAAGTCTCATAAACGAGCTCAAGATATAAAATTTGTCTATGAATTTGTTTATATAAAAGATGAAAGAAATGCCCCAACATATACAGCCTGCAGACTTCCGTCTACATTCGTCATGGAAATCTCTTAAGAGAAGTAAACAGCGGTGAAGTACACACACGTTTATCTTGGTTGTTAACTGAGCAAACATCCACTCAGTAAGTGCACAAGTAGTCGGTAGAAGGGATTGAAGTGTTTGCTCTGCTGCATATAGACTTTATAAAACACACAGATTGACAGTAAATGTTTCTCTTGGTCTTTAATTATCAATTTTACATTTATTACACATGGAGTTCTACAACATATTGCACATAAAAAAAAGGTATCATCGCAAGAACAACACCCAGAACGAAACTGAGAAATAAATATTAAGTTCATTAGTGGAGCGGACATCATCAGAGCTTTAAAAGATCAACGAAGTAATAAAAGAAATAGCAAACGGTTCTTTCCAGGACAGACGGACACAATCCTGACTGGTTTTTACAGTCTGGTGTCGCTCCAGTTTTCTAATAATCGACAATTTTACACCATTAAAAACCATTGGAAAACATTAAAACATCAAAAATGACAGAAGACTTGATTGAAAAAAACAATCTCAACTTGCAGAAGTCCATTTAGTTCTACAAGTTTTCCTCAGACAGGTATTCATGTTTCTTCCCCTCGCTGTATTTGTTTGGAGCTGGTTGCACCAGCACTTCAAAGTAGAACCAGGCCATTGAATCAGTTCGCTAATGTTATCACATGTTAAATATTTAATTTAAATATTCTTTAATAAAGTTATTTATTTATTGAAGAAAGCAGCGTTCTGAGTACCTTTGCATAATCATATCTGTGCACAATCCACATAGAAAAGGTCTGTTTTCATTATCAGCCGCCACATCGGTCTCAAAAATACCAAATCACTCGGGTTCTACTTCAAAGTTTTTACTGAGCTGAGATCACTAATTTAAAACAGGTTGCTCCATAAAAACTATTTCTCAAATAGAGATTAGCTGCTACTAAATGAAAAGATGTGGTAGCTGGCGCCAGGCGTAACTGTCGTCTAACTGAACCAAACTGACAAAGCTGACGTTAACTTGCTTATGTAGCACCGGTTTATACTGAGATAATATGAAATATGGTTCTGACCAGACACTTGATAAAAAGGCTCTTTAATAATTATTTTAAATGACCAAATAACATTTTAAGTTATGTTAGAACTTGTGAACTCCTGTTTTTGGCACTACAGACGTTTCTTAACAGCCAATTTACACCTTACTAAAGTCTTCAGTAGCCAAGACGTTCCTTAAGCTTTAATGGTGCAACCCAATTTAGTGAATCACTAGTTTGAAACCAGCTAGTAAGACTAAAACAGTTGGTGCAACAGTCATTTTATTGGCTCTTTTATGAAAACAATCAAAAACAAAGCTTATTACTATCATTCGTCCAAATGAGACCAATGTCATCAAGCCAGACAAGACTTTTAAACATCCTATATCAGATCCAAAACCTCAAGCAGGGATTGTGCAGCTCTGACACCCAAACAAAACAACGTAACCAACAATGCCACGTCACATCGTACTCTCATCTCTAATGCTTCATAAAGAATAAAGGCACTAATCCCTAAGAGTATTCACAATCTCTACACCTGCAGTAAAAGTATTGTGTTTCTTTAATTCATCTACAACTGTACAAACCAAAAACATGATTTAATTCAATCTTTGAATCCAATTTTCTTACAGACAACATGGCAGTTTTAGGCGTTGGCACAATTGCCTAGAGAAGCAGATCTGATACTTAATCTGCCACAAAACCTCAGTTCCTCCCAGTAGTGTAAATGCTGTTTTAGATTCAAGAAGTCAGCTCCCTTAAAAGAAAAGTCCAGAAGATTTAGAAACTAGTGTATTGCATCAAGAGTGAAGTACCCCTCTTTGAACATTCAACATAGTAATAATGATTGCAGTTTTTCCATTTGTTGGTGGCACCAACCACCTCTTAGATGCTAATAATGCCCCAGTATGCTGGAGGTTTGAGTCGGTACTTTCAAAAACACTTGAGGAGTTTTGTAGGGGAACTGAGAAAGTGACAATGCTTGAATCTTTCTATTGTTAAAATCTTAATGCTGAAGCACAGTTTCAGGCCTTTTTGTTCCAGTTTCTATCAAACATATTCTCGACTCTCCATGTCCTTCTTAATGGCTTTTTTAATGCGGTCGATCTCATCTTCATCTGAACTGTCATATTTGTCATCTTTCTCCTTCTTGTCACTGTCCAGAGGAGCTGCGTCATTGCCTTCATCCTTGTTTTCTGGTGCGGTGGACTGCAGCTCCTCTCGGATCCCATTGAGCTCCACCAGACCGTCGTGCAGCTGTGTAGCGACCTCCCTGATTTTGGCAGCAAACTCTGACTTGGCCCCTTTCTTGAGCTCTTTGGAGTCTTTGGCCACAAAGTAGATGTCCATGCCTACGAAGAGTCCGGTGAGCACACCAGTGGCCATGCTCGCGATCTGGACCGCTCTGGCTGCTGTGCTGCCCGCCACGTTGGCGATTTGCACCACACGCATGATCTCATTGGCGTTGATGAGGATTGCCTTTCCTGCCATGGCGCCGTCCTCGTAGAAGCTACTACTGAGCACAGGGAAGTCGCGGTTGTAGGCGCTTTCTTTCATCTTCATCAGGTCGAACTTCTTCAGGTTCTCGATACCCTTCTTGATGAATGTCAGGCACTTGTTGAGGTCGACCATCTTCTCCTGATAATCCTGCACAATCTTCTCCACTTTCTTGCGGTCCATCGAGTTGTTGACCTGGTTGGAGATGCCGGCACCTGCTGATGTGAGACCGCCCGCCGTGGCGACACCCAATCCCACCGCCGTCACAATCAAAGAGGCTCCAAAGGTGACCGGTGCCAGGGCAAGGCCAGTGATGGTGGCCACGCCACCGATGGCGCTGGTAGAACCGCCGGTGATTTGAGCGATCTTTGTGTTCTTGCTGAACTTGTCCAGGCCGTCAGCGATGCTGTTGAGGTCGATGACGTGCTGCCAGAGGCTCTCAGCACGCTCAGAGAACAGTTTGTTGAAGACACGAATGCCCTTCTGCACCTTCTCTGCCGTCAGAGCAAACGCCCTGAGAGGAGCAAGTTCAGAGTTACACAGATCAATGCATTTTAAAAAGGACAATTTATCTTACTTACCACTAGTGTATTCAGCCATCAGATACTAATTATTTCAGAGTAATGGTGGTATTGCTTCTAGGACATTGTTTCTGAGTTTTTCTAATATAATTTTTCACTCTTTTTAGCAGCGCAAATTAAATTCTCTTGTCCTCCATTATATTGGGGTCATGGAAGATGTTGAAGGGTGAAATATCATATTAAAAACTATTTGAGGATTCACTTACTTGGCCTCTTCTTTTTCTGTCATGTCCTCATCTTGAGGCGTGTCTTCCCAAGCTGAGGAGGTAATAAAGAATTGATATTTAGCTTTCACATTATTTTACATATATTACATGGCCAGAAGTATGTGGACACAAAAACATCCAGAACACTCTTCTGGTTTCAGGTTTCCCAACAGATTTTGGAAACTGGCTGCAGGGATTTTTTTCACATTCAGCAGAACGTTAGTGACACCAACGTTGGGACGTTAAAGTCTGGCTCACAGTTAATCCTAATGGTGCTAGATGGTGCAGATAAGTCAAATTCTTCTGCACTAAAAACAAAAAAAACTTTTTTTTAATGGACCTGGCTTTGTGCAGAAAAGAGTTATCCCAAACTGTGTGCCACAAAGTTGGAAGAATACTATTATCTATAATAAAAGACAATCCTAAACTTACACTCCACTGTGTTCCACCAATCCATAAGATTCTCCACATCCTGAAAGAGATCATTAGATTTGTATCAGTTATCCACAACGATTAATAACGTGGCATTAGATTATATATTGAAATGCAACGATTGTGACATATTTTGCTTCAGAAACCAACCTGTCCATCTTCAGGCTGTGCTGGATCAATACGGAAGTCTTCCAGCCGGTCAAACAAGGATCTGTTGCCATCTTCATTCTAAAGAAAAAAACCCAGAAATAATACTGCTTAAAAATAATTTCTAGATGTTTTATGTTCAATAGGAGGAAGTGATGGTAAAAGGGATTCTGGCTGTACTGACTTATTTCTGCTGTTTTTGCAGAAGTAAAAATGTCTCAAATCTTCTATGGACACGCTGAAATAGGAAGCGGAGAAACAAGTCTGGGCACATTTCAACCTAAACTCATCTCATCTTCCATGCTAAGGGAATGCATGAACACAGTGTGATGGAGTGGGTGTGGGTTTCATGTCAACATAACAACACGTGACTATAATAGGCTCTGTTGGGAGCTGAGGGAGCACCTTGGAGACAAACAAAAGAATGAGGTTGTTTTCAGGGATGGGTCGGGTGACTGAAACAGACCTTTTGTAACCCTGGACCACAGTGAGTTAGATGGCGACACGTCAGTCAGTTGGACAAATATAGTGACAGACTGGGAGGGAAGATGTTGCTTTAAATATAAAGCTCAATGTGTGTGAGGGGTCAATGAAGGAAAGAAAGACAGAGGAGTAACATTAAACACAATTTTCCCAGTTGAATTTCCAAGTTTAATTTTCTCTACCTCTGCTGTGCCTGCAGCTCCGTCCGGCTTCTGCCTGCCCTGAAACCAGTGAACACAAACACACAGTTAAAGCGTAATCAATACTCGGAGGCGGAACTGTTCAGGTAGAAGTGACTCTTATAGGAACAAAGCAAAAATAAAAGCAACTCTGGTCAAAATATTAACAGCATAATTTGTTGTTTTTAATCGTCCCTTTGAACCAGCAGCTAGGTTAACCAGTGGTTTTCTCATGTGCTTGGAATTTCAACTATGCAAATGTACTAACTTTGCTAAAATAACATGGCAACACTACATATTTTCAATTAGCAACAAGACATATACAGACAAAGAAAAAAAAAACATATCCACTGTCTGATTAAAAAACATCTGATTATTTCTGGCTGTGTTGGTTCAACAAATAAATATATCTTCCACACAGGAGGTTACCTTGACTCGAGGCATGAAGGGATTGTGTCTCTTAGGTTTCTTGACTTTGGTCTAAAAAAGAAAAATCTGCATTACAGTGATACTCAGAGGAAGATAAAGACCAAATTCTGAGTAATTACATTAAAATTAACTTTTGTTCCTGACTATCATTGTAAAAGTCAAAGTTGAATCGAGCAACCAGCAAAAATGCATCAGAAGGAAATGAGTTATAAGACCTCTGTTTTGTCTTTGCCCTCCTCATCTTTCTTCTCCTCTTTGGATGAAGAATCCTCTTCTTCTTTCAACCCCTCATCATCAGATGAAGCCTGAAGTAAACAACAATCAAAGCATGGACATAACAATGAAATGATAGAAGAAGTACCCATAGAAAAACACTAACACAAGGTTGCATGTGAACCACCTTCCTAATTCAAAATAAAGAGATATCTCTTATTACAAAGGAACCCCTCAAATCTGTTCTGTAATCATTAAACAAAACTTGCTAATTATAAATTAGCACAATTCACACTGATACTGGTTTGGATGTCACAATCATATATTGTTACCATATATCATATAGGTCTATAGTGTTTTATGTCTTTATTTTTTATGGCTTTGAGTTCATTTTCTCTCTGTGTTTTAAATGTGATGCGTGCTAACTTAACTATAAAATGACTCTCATTTCAAACAAGGAAATACAAAGTCATCCAGTATGTCATGCACATCTGTGTTCCCACCCACTTCAGGACCATGACATGTTGTATGACACAGGCCTTCATCAGCCTACTCAAATTCTAGTTTCTCCAGTTCAGCGACATGCAGAAACAGTGTCTGCAGGAACAGGCTCACTGTCCGCACAGAAGGAAACAAGTTTGTACATGTCACATGTTTGTATGTTACCTTGCCTCGAGGCATGAATGGATTGTGTCTCCTAGGTTTCTTGACTTTGGTCTAAAAAGGCAAATGAGGATTACTGTTATAATCAGAGGAAGATAAACGTCAAATTCTGATATGAAGCGGTTGAATCAACCAACAAGCAAAAATGTAACAGACGAAAAATGAGTTTAAAAAACCTCTTCTGTTTTGTCTTTGCCCTCCTCATCTTTCTTCTCCTCTTTTGATGAAGAATCATCTTCTTCTTTCAGCCCTTCATCATCAGACGGAGCCTGAAGACACACAAGGTTGCATAAGAGCCCTTTTCCCAATTCCAAATCACATTTAAAATCTAACATTGTGTAGCCTTTGTCAAAAACAATGTGAGGGGGAGAAGTTTAGTACACAAAACCAAATGAAGTGGGCGTAAAGGAAGATAAAAATCTTCATGACGAATAGTGATGACATGAATTGCAAAGTCATGAGAGAAGCACACAGTCAGATACCTTGGCTGCAGCACGCAGCATAAACGGATTATGGTGCTTGTGTTTTTTCACCTTGGTCTGTAAAAGAAATAACAATGTGTGAGGTGACATGAGAAGCAAAAACTGGAAGAACTACATTTCATTACAGCCCTTAGTGACTGCAGTGCGTATGTGCTTAATATGTTACTGCATCCCTCTGCAAATATGTCACATTTCTTCTATCAAACACACAGGTAACTATATTTTTATTGATGGTATATCAAAAATAGTTGCAGTCTAACCCAACTACCATCTGCTCCTATCACTGAAAGATACACAAACTCCACTTAGCGACCCTGTAACAAGCAGCAGCAAGTTAATGCTTAAACAAACTAGCACAACTTTATTAGATACCAAATATATTCAGAACATAGTCAGAAATGTGTATAAAATAATGCAAAAGATTTCTCAAATATAATATAATATTTCACTCAATGTAAATATCTAGAACAATATAATACAGAATATATAACACTGTCAGACTGCAGAATAAGACTATTTTAATGACATGAAAAGCTACTGAAGGGGAAAACAAGGGTGGGAAAAACCTTATGTGAAGTGGTTGATCTGCCTTGTGACTAATAATCCACATGATCTTTTGTAAACCTCACACTGACAAAAGGCCTGGAGGTGCCACAAGTCATTTGAATGTCTGATATGACAGAGCTGATAAGAAGGAAGCAGGAACTAAAATAATGAGTTCAGAGCAGAATAACTGCAGTAGAAAGCTCTTTGTTTTTGCTTTCAGACGCATGTAGCTTCAACCCCACACACAGATGAAGTTCTCAGACTCATAAATACACACATACAGTAAATACTTACTACATACGTTATTTAACATTGAAGCTTAATAATTAATACAGTTTTGCTGCCAGTGAAGAAGAGATGAACTTACTGTGTTCTCATCTTTTTTGAGGCCTTCATCGTCTGATTGGCTCTGCAGGAAATTAAACTCATTAGATTTTAACAGAAGTGTTCAGGGGCCTTCATAAAATTATTTCCTATTATTACTTTTTAGATCCCCTTCAGACATGTTTTAAGACACACATTAGTATTATTGTATATTGTGTATTCTTGCCTCGTTAAAAAAAAATCTTTTTATTACATTTACTCCCTTTTGGCTCATTTAAAATTCATAATAAATTAATACAAAAACAAATTTCAGCTTAACTTCACTGAAGTCCATTGTCTGTGAATATGCACTGAAGCTTTTATATTATATGTTGCATATTGGACGACGACCGGCTTCCAAACCATCTGTGACGTTAAAATCCTGCTCGTACATACAAGGTTTTCCTCTATAGCATTTAAAAGTATATCACCTACCATAGCTTTAACACTGTTTGTAAAATGGTTAGTTGTGTGAAAATATGTGAAATCTGTAGTAGTAGCTAAAATGAAAATAAAATCCCAACAAACCTCCCCACCATCACCATTTTCACAGTCCCATCACCGATACAATGACTTCCTGTCACCTAAAACATCATGATCATGTCGATCACGAAGCGCCCTGCCCTTCCTTCACCATGACCAAACCCAGTCGACATTATAGTTACTTTATTTGCAGAGCGGGTTATGTTCAGTTTGGACATGGCTCCAACCTTGCCGCTCTGAGAGGGTGGGACACATCATCGGAAGATTTAAGGGAATGTCTCAGAGTTTTATCTGCTCTGTCAGTCACTAGACACACTGAGTTCTAAGTTAGACCAATAAATTGGCCAATATAAGTTCACAGTATTGCACATCTGTGTATACGTCAGCCGATAGACAAGGATTGAGGTAGTTTAGAAACATTAGTTTGTCCACCAAAGGGCTCAGTATGTACGTGTCTTGTTTACCATTAAATACATATTTTTAAAGGATTTGAATCAAGATTTCTTTTTATGTTATGAAAACTCCCAAATATTTGTATCAGCCTCAAAAGTCGTCGTCATTTAGTTGTAATAAAATGGCCTGTTAGCATTTTTAGCCTTCTCTATTAAAACCAAGGGGCACAGATAGATGATCAGAGGCTAACAGCTAACTGAGATTTTATATTATATGTTGCATATTGGACGACGACCGGCTTCCAAACTATCTGCGACGTCAAAATTCTGCTCGTACATAAATGTTTAATTCAGGCTACTGAATGTGAAAACAGGCTTCTAAAACTCTGCACATACACGGTTCACCACAGTAAAGGTTAAACATCCAAGTCAAGTAACAACAGCTTAGACTTTAAGCCAATACTGGTCCAAAATATCCACCAACGCGTCGTTCTGTACACGTCAGTACCTGATGGTTGCTCTTCTGCTTTTGCTGACTATGTTTCGCTGCTCTGCTCAGCTCCTGCAATCACACCAGAGCCACTTCCTTAAGCACAGAGCTCATAAACCCTCATAAACCCTCATATACATCGATAAACACTGATACACATCAGCTCAAAACTGACACAAACAGCCATTATTCCCTAAACACTGGGAACTTAAACTACCTCCTCTGTCAGTCTGGTTGGAACTACAGGAGATTCTGCTGCTATTGCTTTTTTCTCTCTGGAGGTCACGTTATCCTGCAGAGGACAAAATAGGGAATTTTCTTTCCTGATACCCAATTTATGAGAAGGTGAACTTCATCACAAAGCATGACATTTAAAAGCATAGTATGTAGCTTTCCATGCCTGCTGCTTGCTCATCATCTGATTTAACTTGTGTTCTAACTGACTGACGTACATTGAAACTGTGAGTAAGCAGAGATATACAGACAACACCCACATTACTGACCTGATTATCCTCAGTTCCTCTTGGTTTTACTTTGTCAGATGTGGATGTCCCCTTCATCTCCTGTGGAGAAATCACAGCCTTAAAAACACAATGTAACGGACAGAGCACAAGTCAGCGCAGTGTCACTTGGACTACATGTCACTAAGTGGCAGTTGTGTTAAACTGCTTGCAAACCTCTTCAGTTGGTCTGGGTGGAACCGGTGGTGTTTCACTTCTTTCCTTCCTCTCTCGCTGGATCATGTTGCTTTTGACCTGACAAGGACACACACACACACACACAGAATCACACAGTGTGCTGGTGCAGTAAGACGGGGAGGTTTAACCACGAGCAGGCAGGATTTAAAGGGTAAAGGGGACGAGGAGGATGTGGTGGAGGTACAGGAATAGGAGGAGTGTGAATGGGGGGTTATTTTTGACAGAAGTTGATCAGCTGTGTGAGACAGAGAGACAGAGAGAGAGAGAGAGAGAGAGAGAGAGAGAGTGTGTGTGTATGTGTGGTCACTGATGACTCATGAGTGATGCAAAAAATAGACTGACCACTTTCGGCTTCTCTTCCACTTGTTTGTCGTCCTCTGTGTCTTCAGTGTCTCTCTGAACAAAGGAGATGAAATATTAGCTAATGAACTGTATCAACCTAAATAAATCTAAACCTTTAAAAAAAATACTTAAAAAGGACCAAACTTTAGATTAACTCACTACAAATCATAGTACTATACATACATTTACATTTTTGCTGAGCATTTTCTACACTTTTAGATTTTCAGATGTATTTTTCCGACTATTCCAAACAGCCATTGGTTTCCATTCCATTATTCATTTGTGCCAGAACTGCCAAAAGAGTTATTGATTTCAATATTGTAGAAAAATTTATGGAAAATAATGGTTGCTAAGGGCTGTAGGGAAATATACACCCTAAAATCTTACTCACATTAAAGCTAGGGTAGGTGTGTTTGTACGTAACGTCTCATTTGCACGATTGAAATGACTGGCTGGGCTTATAACAGCCACAAATACAAGGTTTTCCTCTATAGCATTTAAATATATATCACCTACCATAGCTTTAACACTGTTTGTAAAATGGTTAGTTGTGATGTAAAATATGTGAAATCTGTAGCAGTAGCTAAAATGAAAAAATAAAATCCCAACAAACCTTCCCACCATCACCAGCATCACAGTCCCATCACCGATACAATGACTTCCTGTCACCTAAAACATCATGATCATGTTGATCACGAACCCACCCGCCCCTCCTCCACCCTTCACCATGACCAAACCCAATCGATATCATAGTTACTTTATTTCCAGAGCGGAATATGTTCAGTTTGGACATGGCTCCAACCTTGCCGCTCTGAGAGGGTGGGACACATCATCGGAAGATTTAAGGGAATGTCTCAACGTTTTAGATTTGTTTCTGCTCCGTCAGTCACTAGACACACTGAGTTCTAAATGAGACCAATAAATTGGCCAATATAAGTTTACAGTATTGCACATCTGTGTATACGCCAGCCGACAAGTGAGAAGAAACTCAAGTATGGAAATGCCAGACTAGGATTGAGGTAGTTTAGAAACATTAGTTTGTCCACCAAAGGGCTCAGTATGTACGTCTATGTACGTATGTGTGTCTTGTTTACCATTAAATACATTTTTTTAAAGGATTTGTATCAAGATTTCTTTTTATGTTATAAAAACTCCCAAATATTTGTATCAGCTTCAAAAGTCGTCGTCATCAAGGGCACAGATAGATGATCAGAGGCTAACAGCGAACTGAGCTTGTTTCCAATCAGGAATGCTATGACTACTGACAAGCCATTTTATTTCAAACAACACTATAAATACGTCATCACACTGTTAGAAACCAATCAGGCTGTCAAATAGTTTCCCCACTGATGTAATTGAGGTGTATAAGCAACAAGTATGCCTGGTCTAGGGCGCACCAGTGGCCTAGAGGTCGTTGTTGGGGCTGGTTCGAGTCTGAGTGGGGACCTCTTGTATAAATACAACTTTTCCTGCAGGACGAGCAGAGATAGATATCTGAGGTTTCCCTTTGACTCAACAAGACCAGGCAAGACAAGAAAAGCTGGACTGCAGACAGCCTGTGGGTGAAATGCTCCACGAGAACTTTAGCCTTTGACTTTCTTCCTTTCTACCTAAGCAGGACAAAGCAGTCCACAATGCCTCGCACTGACCCGTGCACACAAAAACACACCAAACAGGTGGTAGAGGGTGACACTAGGAAGCAGCAAACTTCCCCTTAATTATTAACAAACATAACATAGAGGTTTTTCTACCCCTCAATGCACCTGCTGGATAAAAATAAGCGTGACGCAAAATGTATGAAATAACACAATGAAACAGGAACAAGTGAATATCAAAGCACCTGTTTGCTGCCTGACGACTTCTCGCTGCTCGCAGGTGGATCCTCGTCATCTGAGCCTGCCTGCTTCTCAGGCTGCAGAGAAAAGACAGAACTCATTATTTTATAAAAAACACATTAAAGAGGCTGCACAGTTCTATTTATCAAAATAAACTTTACTTATTTCTTGAGCACTATCAAAAGCTTACAATCTAAAGCTTCCTTACTTTGTTGGCAGATCGAAATGGATTCAGCTTTGTCATGGCCTCAGCAAGTTTACTCTGAAGGTGAAACCATAGAAAAAAGAAAGATAAAAAATAAAATATATTATAAAGAAAAACATACAGAAATTAAATTGAAACCAGGAGATAAAAACCCTCACAAACCTGTTTGTGACCGGGCTGGCCCTCTCCATTGTCCATTATCTCCTCACAGTCAGAGTCAGAGTTCTTCTCCTGGGAATGGAGACAATATTCATCATAAAATATAAACAATAACAGATAGTAGAAACAATAGTAGATCATCTGGATTATTCTATTACTTAAAAATATCTATATTTAGGCTTTTCTGCTGGAGAAACTATTTAGTTTGATGGGAAAGATGAACTGATTACAATACGCCACCTCTTACCTGTTTGTCAGTGTAGAACGTGCTCTTCATCATCGCACTGAAACCGTTCTGAAATAACACAAAGACACAGTTACTTATATATTATCATAGCCCTAACCCTCACTTTAATGTAACAGCAGATCTTATTCCTCAACATCCAGACAGAAAAACAATTTTAAAGCAACAGAGATCCAGTTACTCTGCCATAACAACCCACCTGCTTAGCTTTGGGTTTCTCTGCAGTAGTATTCTCACTGGAGTCTCCTGAGTGTTCAGTCTTTTCTTTATCCCTCTACGACACATTATAACAGCATGTTATTAATCTCTGAACACTGCCAACCATTCATATGATTCAGGAATAAGCGTGAGAATTCAAAGCAGTTAAAGTTAGAAACTGATTTTATCTCCTGTATGTTCTGTTATTGTTGATGCAGTGCAAGTCAAAGTGAACACAAAAGACAAGAAGAGGACTTGAAACAAAAACAAATCTGTATTGAGCTTCATCTCTCACCTTTGAAGACTTCTCTATGAGACTGTCACTGCTGGCAGAGAGTTCAGTATCCACAGACAGATCATCCTAAACAGAGGAATACAGTCAGAATGTAACGACCAAGATCAAAACACTCAACATATGAAATATATCACCACACGATATCACAACGACTGCAGGTACTGGTACAAAACATCCTGTGGGGGACTATTAGTGAGCAAATTCAGGAATTAGATGGGCTGGGGGGAAAAGCTAGCACCAAAAAACACTAGTAACAAATATTAAAGCCACCATGTATGTGTTTATGAGATCATCTTTCAAGTTTTTGTTTGCAGATAAATCAGACAGCGCTGATAAATTTAAGCCTTTCTCAGCATTTTTTTTACTACCAAAGTCAGATATTTAAAAATGTTATCCTTGCTGGCTTTAAAAATGAAAACACGGAGCAGAATTCACCTGAAAATGGTTCTTGAACATCAAATGAACAAATGGATTTGCAAATGAATAAAACCTTTTTCACTCATATCACTTTTATAGGAGGAAACAAAACATCCCTCAAAACAGGATACTTTACTTTTTGGTTTGAAAAACTATTTGTGACAATCTTACCTGAGACTGAGATTTGGCAACTTTCTTTCTGAACACCCCGCTAAAGATTCCTCCTTTCTCCTGAGAAAATAACAGGAAGCAAACACTTAATATTACTACATTTACATTACACTTATCTTGCAATACTGTGTCACTCGAGGGTCCCGGTGGCTTTAACAAACTCACCTTAGTGTTGTTACTCTCAGAAAGATTATCTTTGCTGCCTGACAGCTCGTTGGGTTCAGACAAATCATCCTGAAGGCGAGAAACAAATGTCAAATTCGAATAATATTATTCCTGCCCTAATAATTTATAACATGGTTTAGTGGTGAGATGAACTCACCTGAGATTGGGCCCTGGCTCCAAAAGGCTTTGGGGATTTTTTAAAGATCCCACTGAACACCCCTCCTGTCTCCTGGGAAAAGTTACATGAAAATGGTTTGTGAGATTTTGCCCAGAATGGAGGAATTAAGTGCAGCATGTCTCTGCTATATTGTGTTGTTTTAACTGACTTATGGTTAAATAAAAAGGTCAAATAAAAATAAAATCAATCTTAATCAAACTTCACCTTAGTATTGCTATTCACAGAAAGATTGTCGCTGCTGCCTGAGAGCTCACTGGGTGCAGACAAATCCTCCTGAAAGCAAGAAACAAACATCCCCATAGTGATTATTATTATCATCTCCTAATAATGTAACACAGCTATAAGTGAGACAACTCTCACCTGAGATTGCGTCCTTGCTCCGGACGGCTTTGGGGATTTTTTAAACATCCCACTGAACATCCCTCCTGTCTCCTGGGAAAATAAAAAAGTCATATGAAAGTGAAATCTTGCTCCTAACAGAGGGATTTAGTTTAGTATTTGTCTGGTGTCAGATGGACTTCACACAGCAGCCTGGACTCTCTTCTCTAATGCTGATGTGTGCAGGATAACCTCGCCCAACACACACACAAACAAACACAGAAACACACATTTCCCAAACTCTCACACACACAGCATTATGGTACAGTCACATTATCCCACAGTGCAATGAAACTCACACACACTCACACACACCTGGAAGTCACCCTTCTGATGTGGTTAATGAATAACTATAGAAGAATAATGACTTTTTCTATTCAAAAGCACAGCTGATCAGTGTTTCTACTGGTCGATCGTGCATGTTGAGTCTGGAAATTGCACCGAAGCAAAAAAGAAACGCATGCTAGAATCAGTGATACGGACTCGATGGAGGGTCAGAGGTGTAATATGACTGTATCAGTATCAAGAGATGAGGAGAGGCTTTGTGTTTGTTTCATAGAGGTAGCTAGCTGTCACAGCCTCACCTTAGTGTTGCTATTCACAGAAAGATTGTCGCTGCTGCCTGAGAGCTCACTGGGTGCAGACAAATCATCCTGAAAGCAAGACACAAACATCCCCATACTGATTATTATTATCAGTTCTCTAATCATGTAACACAGCTATAAGTGAGACAACTCTCACCTGAGATTGCGTCTTTGCTCCAAAAGGCTTTGATGGTTTTTTAAACATCCCACTGAACATCCCTCCTGTCTCCTGGAAAAAAGAGGTTTAATAATAATAACTTCTATATGTTAATTAAAATCAGATAAAACCAGTTGTTTTGTATATTTAACTGATGCAGCTGTCAGGTGGACTGGCAGGGATTCAGTGTTTCACACGTTGCTCAGCACTTCTTCCAAATTGCTGATGCATGCAGGTTCAGCTCACGCATCAAAACACACACAAAAACAGAAAACTCCCAAACTCCCCAGTCGAGGTCCGCACACTTACTGTAGGTCAAAACAGATCCACCTATATGTGTCACTAGTTAACACAGAGTTCGTCCTCAGTATAAAATCTCTCTAAAAATAGTAATATTGTCATTTACTGTAAATATGTTTCCAACTTGATATAAGCCAACAATGTTTAACACTTTTTGTTACAGCAGCTTTTTTCCTCCGACACATGCTGTGCTGCACACAAAGTGATGTATTAAGAACAAAATGCTAACATTAGACTGTATTTAGTTTGTATTCGTCTCCAGTTGTTTGTGTTTTTGTGTGAAAGTGTGATGGGACTCACTTTAGTTGTGGTGTTTTCAGACAGACTGTCTTTACTGGCTGTGAACTCATTGTCCAAAAGATCCTGAAACACGATTATAAACACATAAAACACATTATTTTACATGTCAGGCATTGAGCTGGTAACTGTATTCTCCAGATAATCTCTCTCTCTCTCTGTAATAGAAGATTGTGTTTCACCTGCGAAGGCCTCCGGGCATGTCCTGGTTTAGGAGATCGTTTCAGTATCCCACCCAACACACCTGATTTTTCCTAAAGAAGAAAGAGTGCGGAGAAAGGTTTAGTTTCAAAGACTAACTTTAAAAATATCACAGAGCAGAAGGTAAACTCACCTTCGAGGACTTGTTGTCTGTTAAACTGTCACTGCTGACAGACAGTTCAGGATTTTGTATTGAGAGGGTGTCCTATGAAAGATAAAAAAAAGTTTATCATATCTGTATATTAACTCCATATTTCTATACAGCTATGGAGACACATCTGATTAGTGTGTGTTGACAGGTGAAACACACACACTGGGATTGCTCAGGTCTGAATTTTTTGAGAATTACAAAACTAATGTAACACCAGAAATACACTGTTACTAAGCAGGTAAATAAACAAAAGAAAAATTGATAAAAAATGTCATTTCATGGTCTGAAAATATATAAAATATCAATATTACAGTGATAAAAAACAACAGCTTAAATGATAAATCAATAAGCCAAATTGTTGACTAATCATAAGAAACTCAATGCAGAGCACAGTAAGTAAGTCCACTACAAACCTGAGGCTGGCCCTCTTTGGCAGCTTTGGTCGCCTTCTTAAACATTCCCTTAAAGACGCCTCCTTTCTCCTGAAATATGTAATATTATTATATAAAAGTTTTCTCAATTTACAACACAAATCAGTCACAGAAAAGCTTCCTGAGCTTCACCTTGGAGCTGCTGTCTGTCAGACTATCGTTGCTCTTCGAAAGTTCACCGCTGGTTGATAAACTGTCCTGTAAAGTTCACACAGAGCTCATGTGAGTAGAAGCAGACACAAAAGGCAGAAATCCATAATTAGGTTAAATTCTAAGTGTCATATCTAAATTGTACATTCAGTTGTTGTAATTTTATTGCTGTACATGTCAACAATATGAATATGGGCCTTAAATATTAGTATTAAACATTTAACATCACCTGTGCTTGGACAGATGGTTCTGCAGCCTTAGAGGGTCTTTTGAACATCCCACCAAATAACGCCGCTTTGTGCTGCATGAGAAGTGAAAAAGAGAATTTAACATGTAAGTAAAAAAAACATACTAAGAAGGAAAACACGGGGCTGATTCTCTAATGCGGCTTCAGTTGTGACGCGCATCCTCATTCAGAACCAGCGAGTAACAGAAGGTGAACACTGACTCCAATAACCTGTGAGTCAGCAGCAGAAATCTGGAGGCTGAACTGGAAAAGATGCTGCGAATGACTTCAAGGATGAAAGGATGTATTTACTAGCTCACGTCTCACAGTCCAGCCTCACAGTCCAGATCATCACGTCTGGACATGGTGCCGGTTTCATGTCCGGACTTTAAAGCTTGATGATGGTAAATTTAGAGTGATTGTAGAAACTGATCATAAGAATCACATAAAAATGAGACAGTGGGGGGGGCAATACATTACCAATACACTGGATGGATGGATGGATGATGCAGTGGTAAATAAAAAGGCGTATATGAAGAATTAAGAATGATTAAACTTCAATTAGAGGACTAACAGAGGCTTTAAGGTCTTTGGAGGGTGTTTACGTCTAATACTGATTCAACAGTGTCGGATATCAACTCATTTCTATCCTGTACGTCACTGGTTCGCAACCTTTGTGCAAGAACTTTGTGTAAAACGAGCAGATTATTTCCTGTTTAAAGGAACTTTTTACACAATTCTTTGTTCTATATTGTGTATTTGTGATCATTTTTAACTCTCATGCAGACTTACTAGGCTTCTTTTTATTGACAAATTTAATGTTTTCTTGTCCTTGACACTTGACCATTGTTCTATTAGACAATTTAAAGAAGTGAATAAAATGCTTTAGAAAAAAAGTTTTAGGCCTACAGTGTATATTTTATACATCTTCTTAGACCCCGTAAAACCCTATTTTGTCTCATTTATAACGTGTTTAAAATGTGTACATTGTTTTACTGATGAGGTAAAAAAAATGACAGCCTTACCTTTCCCTAAATACACATATTTGGTCCCATAAAGTGATTAATTTAATTTAGTGACTGTTTAATTCATAAAGTATTTAAAATGTGTATCGTTTTACTGAATGACGAGACAACCGGTTACAGTAACTCAGCTTAAATACATTAATTAGGTTTTATTTAATTTAATATTCAATAATAAAATTCATAAAAACAAAGTTGTGATTTATCAAACATACATATCTGTTCAAAACTTAGCTTTACCGGTCCAATACACTACACCATAAAGGTCCACAACAAATGCAGTATTTACATCTGTATAATAATTTTTAAATACATAATTAAATATTTGTAACCTGTTTTTTAAAGATTTGTTTCAGATGAACAGACACATTGTTGGTTTTAGTCTTTTCGTGGGTCGTTAATTCCTGAAACCCTCAATGTTCCAGTTTTGTGCTGCGGTTAATTACATTAACTGCTTTGTAGCTAATCTGCTGTGTGTGTGTGTGCATGTGTATGTGTATGTATGTGTATGTGTGTGTGTATGTGTGTGTGTGTGTGTATGTGGGTAGGGGGGGTTAACAGGGGCCCAGTGGCACATTCTTGCCCTGCAGCAACCTGGTCTGTTAATCCAGCCGTGCAGTGCAGTCTACAGTGTTTCTATCCCTGTCCACGTCCAGCACTGTGTGTTTAGTATCCACAGACTGAGCTCAGGTCGGTGAACTCCAGCACTTAACTGACTTTAACAAGGGACAAAACTTATAAATCCAAACCCTGCAAAACATTAAAGTTACACAGAAGAAAACATGGAGACAACTCACAGCGACGCCTCCTCCATCACACTCCAGATCCAGGTCCAGGTTGTCGTATCGCTCCTGGGAACAAACATTGTCACTGTCGACTCATTGGGACTCACATTAACCGACATTTCCAACCACTGACAGGTTGGTGATGAAGACTGTGTCGAAGACGAAGCGACAGAAGACACGAAGGAAAGCGACTGTGCGCGTAAACTCACCATTATCTGCTCTCAGTCCGCCCTTGTTTACTGTTTACTTATTCCCTTGTTGTTTATTTGTTGTTCCACCGATGATGATTTGTGATGTTTCGGTCCTCAGTGAGCAGAGTTTGTGCTTCCCCCCGGGGTTGACACTGTCGGATTTTTCCAAACACAACGCGGTGAAGTTTAAAGATCCTCCCTCCAGAAAAAAAAAGAAAAAAAAGAAAAAAGCTGGAGAGACTTCCCACAGACCTTTGCGGGTTCTTGTGATCTTAGACAAATCCTGAAACCTGCGGATCCAGTTTCTGTTCCTTTCTTTCACCTGTGCGCTGTCGCCCAGGAGAGGGCGTGTCCGTCTCACCTGGGAGCTGAGCCCATGTGGTGCTTTCAAGTGCTGTTCGGAAACTCCTCCCTTGGACTGACAAAGTGTAAATTGTCTATTAGAACATGGTTCCCAACCTTTTTCCAAGAGGTTTGAGTAAAACGAGGAACTTTTTACACAATTCTCTGTCTGTATTGTGTATTTGTGATCATTTCTATCAATCATACAGACTTAATAGGCTATTTTCTTTTTGACATATTTAATGTTTTCTTGTCCTTGATGCTTGACCATTGTTCTATTAGACAATTTCATTTACTTTACATTTAGTTTTCTTTACAGAAGTGAACAAAATTAATTTTTCCTCAACGGATCCATTTTCTATCATTTAGTAAACTGACTAAGTGAAATATTTTATGGATATTTTTCATTTTAAATTCAAAACTGTACACTGAACCCAAACAGTGAACTCAGTAACTGCAGGAAGTTTGTGTAAAATAAGAGATTTGGATGAATTTTGAGCAGATTATTTCCTGTTTAGGGAACTTTTTATCCAATTCTCTGTCTGTATTATGTATTTTAGATCATTATCATGTATTTCAATCATACAGACTTAATAGGCTTCTCTCTTTTTTTGGACAAATTCAGTGTTTTTCTGACCCTGAAACTTGGTCATTGTTCTATTAGACAATTTACTTTACATTTAGTTTTCTTCACAGAAGTGAATAAAATGAGTTTTAGGCCTGTAAGAAAATGTAAATCATACACACCTGTTTTAAATTTTCTTATACCACAAATATGTCACTTAGTCAGTTTATTCAATGATAGAAAAGAGGACGCTGGAGGTTGTGAAACCACTGCTGTATTCCACTACATACTGATTCCATGGTGAATGTAACATCATGTACATTTACTAAAGAACTGTGCTTAAATATAAACTTGTACTTTACTTGAGTCTTTTGAGGAAATATTGAATTTTTTTTCTTATTTAAGAGAGGGACAGCTTCAGATACATGCTGTTAACACAATCTACCAGGGCACCATTACGTGGCATCTTTAGATACTTTACAAATAATGATTGTATAAAATAATATAAATAATTTCTGCTCTTAAATTACAAGATTAATTCCCACAAATTAATAGTAATACATTATCACCTAATGTCCATCTCAGCACTCTTGCCATGCACTGCTTGGATTCAAGAACAAAGTCAGTGTGCAGAAAGAAATTGGTATTTTATTTACTTAACATGTTTTATTGCACTAAATGTGGCTCATTGCAGATAGCAGAGTTGTAAAAGCATTAGCTGATAAGCTGTGATTGATGTCTCACTGTTAAACAGGGTCTCTGTGTCAAATAACAATCAAAACTAACTGTTTGATCTTGGTTTAGTCTACTAATCATGTATCAGTCACACAGATCTGGCAATAACGAAGCTGTCCCAGGAATACAAAATAAATAATATTAATTAAATGTAAATCCTGTTTGAGCCCGGTCAGTAAGAAGTTTGTAAAATGTGAAGAAAGTACAATATTTATTGGGTAAATCATTGAAAATGTGTTAAACAAACCAACAAAGAGCAGACACAAAAAATGTATTATCATTCACAGTTCTTCCACTCACACTTTAACTTTAAGTGTTTCATATCCCACATTCCTATTTCCAAATAAAAGAAATAATTCAGCTCATACAAAACTATAACTGATAAGATTTAACTTATTTTTATCTACTTGTTTGTTACATTTGCAGGTTTTTTGCCATCTAAATTAAAGGCACATGTAAACATGGTATTACAGTGATTACATACATAGTTATCCCTGTGTGGTGTAAATATATTTCACCTTTTTTTTAATACATGTCTTGCTTATTCACAGTCACTGAAACATTACAGGCAACCTTTCGTTTGTGTAGTGATATAGGTTTTTTTTTTTTCTTAAATTCTGACGTGTAATATTTTGTGGATTATTCTTTCCAGGAGAGGAAGTAGAGCTTTCCCTGTCCGTCACCACAAACCAGTTCAGTGGGCTTTCCAGGGTTCACCTCCAATTGCACAACAGGTCCTCCACATACAAACATCCCCACCTAAAGGGAGAGACAGAGACAGAGAGAGAGCAGAAGGTAACAATAAGATAACAATAAATTAATCAGTATGCTGCATATAAAGAGAACAGAACCTCCAAAGTTAATGAAATCCACTTAAAAACAACTCTAAAGTTCTCTAATTAACACATTGTATCTCATCTGTTTAATCCACACAAAATCTAAAGTGGTAAAACATCAATTCACCGTTTAACGGAGAGGTTATGTGCCAAACTTTTGTTAATTTTGGACTGTTTTGAGTCTTTGTGCTAAGCTAACCGTCTGCTTGCTGTGGCTTCATATTCAACGTACAGATATGAGGGTGGTATTGATCTTTTTGTACCTGCTTCTTGGTGTTTCTGTCCCACAGCTTCACTGTCCTGTCATAGGAGGCGGAGATGATGGTGCGCTCAGTGAGTCTCAGCACACTGATCCTGTCAGTGTGAGCCTGGGGATAAAACATCATCATTAAAAACAACATAAAGTAAAAGTCTCGGCTTAAAGGACAACTACTGTTCATGTTTGCTTTTATTTCCTTTACAGGCCTGATGGGAGACTTTTGTTCTCATAGTGACCTAAGATTTAAATTTAGGGCACGTTTACAGCTGAGATTGTTAAGCCACAATCCTGATAGTCAATTAATGATTTACAGAGCAAAAATGCGAAGACTCGTGGCTTTTCTCTGTTGTTTTTCATTGTTCAAGTTAAATCGCTTTGGGTTTTGCCCAAGGCCCGCCCCTTTTTGCTCTGTGCTCCAATAATAGTTGAGCATTTAAAAAATAAAAGTGACATAAACAGCTGTATCTTAAGTTACCTAATGTTAGAAAAAAAACTAATCTCCATCAATCGTTCGTTTTCTAATTTAAACAAATACTGTGTTTTTTTATGCTGAATACAGAAATATACAATAATCTCTCGTGTTCTGTTTCCGAGTGTCTCAGCTCTTACAGGTTTTCTGTTTCTCCACGTGGAAGTCTCAGGAGGCTGGATGAACCACATGTTGCCCTTCACGTCTCCGCACACCACGAAATCTGAAAGAAGGTTAAAAACACACACTGGATAATCACGCAATGAACAAAACAAATAAAAAGTAGTAGCATTAGTCACAGTAGCTATGCTTGAAGTAAGAATAGTAATTGAAACAGCTGCGGTATAAAACATTTATTAGCCTACTTGTAGATTTTAGTACCTGTGTTCATGGTTATAGCTGATATCATGCTCCCCTTCTTCTCCTCCTCATCCTCGACCTCTAGGTCCATCGAGCTGAAAGCCGAATGGAATTTACTTTTGGGACCCATGGCAAACTGTGGGGGAAGAAGACAAGGCATCAGTATTTATTAAAAGTAAGTGGTGTATTACATTTTAGGTTTGACTTGATTTGTAACTGAAATGTAGGGACTGTTTAGATAAACAGGAATTGTTCTTTTGATAAATTAACATCTAAACTGAAATGATGATTCTATTATTAATATCGTTATTGTTGTTAATTGACAATAATATTTTGTATTTTTCATGAACTAATCCGAGAGCTACAACAAATATTTTTCAGTGTTTTTTGATTATTAGTGATCAAAAACTCACAAAGAAGCCAATGTTAACTTCTCCCTTGCATTCTCCCACCAGCCACATGCTTTTCTCGTCGTTTTGGATCAACCCCAAAATACGGACATTTTGGTGCCAACTGCAATAAAGACAAAACAGAAAAATACACCCTTCAGTGAATAAGAAAAAAAACAACAGCACCGTATCTACAACTGAGCTATCTGTCAATAGAAGCTGGATAAATGAAAACCTAAATATTAGAAACAAATCAATGTATTTACGAGGTGTGGTCCTGTACATACGTAATACTTTAAATAAGCCTTGTGACCCAGGATACAACCTCCTACAGACTCCTATGAAGTTCAGTCAAATTACTGTGCATTAAAAGACCAATATTCATTTAAAATACTCTATACTATAATACACCATCTCCACCATAAATAGGTTTGCTTTGATTAATAAATAATTATTATAATGATTCATTATTCCTCTGTCTCAATTCAACAAGGTCAAAACTAACATTGATTTTAAAGGACCAGCATGTACGATTTATTGGTATCTTTATGATGTAGTTGCTGATAAAAGGCTATTTCTAAGGTAACAAAAACACAACAAGTCTTATTTACAGGTGATTATTCACTAATAAAAACATACCTACGAATATTATATTCAATTCCTGCCAATAGATCCTCATAAATGTGATACACTGAACCTTTAAAAATTATGAAAATTTCAAGCAATTCAAGAAGAAGTGAGATTTCCTGATAATCACCCTTGATTGATTCATTAAAACAACTGGTACACCTTTTGGGACATAAAGTACAGTATGTAGTGTTACCTATTGTTCGTTTGGAACCACTTGTCCTCCTCACTGGCTGTGATGCCAAATATTCCTTCATCTTTTGACACACCGATGAGCATTGTGCAGTAGTTGAGGCGGACCACCATCTCTTTCACTTTGTAGGTGTTTACCTTCACCAGGCTGAAAGCAAGAGGAAACACAGGACACAGCAGGACTGGTTAGTGTATACAGGCAAACTCGTCATAACGTATTTGTTTCCATAGAAACGGCACTCAGAACAGAGAGGAAGATATAATATTCTGCATTTCTCCCCATCACATTCATCTGTCAACTAGTACAGATACAAATTGTATTTATTGTTTTGTTATGTTGTCTTTTTATTATGTTTCCCCGCCAGGTCTTTATTGTTAATAAGAATTTGTTCAAACCTCCCGACTAAATAATTTTTACAAAATAAGATAAAAATGGAGGATAAGGGAGGTCCTGCTTGTTTACCTTGCGGTGCTGCGTTGTTGATTCCACACCAGCTTCCACACATCAACAACAGGTTTCATGTAGCTGACAGCAAACTGGTTATCGGGCATGGAGCAGATCGCTGTGATGGCGCCGTCTGAAGTCTGACACACAAACAGACACAACATATGATTACACAAACATATACATTATGTGTTCAGCATACATCCCTTTTCTTGTGCATGTCTTCACCTGCTTGTGGCCAACCACAGTGTTGTGCTGCCATATTTCCAGCAAACCGGACTCATAAGCAGCAAGAAGCAAATCATCTCTCGGAGAGAAGCACAGAGCGGAGACTGAGCCTCTCAGTGTGGGAGGACCCTCTGAAAAGACAAGACACACAGGTGAACTGGAATACAGTATAATGTTAACAAGGTAGCAGCAGTAGGGATATATACAGAAGAGGATGGTTTCATTATGTGGATGAGCTGGAATATTCTGACTTTATTATTGGATGAATGAGCATTATTTTGAATAAACCTTTTATCTGGTTATAAAAAAAGAGACACTGAGGCATAGCATAATGTACACAGTGAATGTGAAGGAAGCTCAATCAGTGTGATAAAATTATTTTGTCCCACCACACATTAATATCTCAGAAGCTTTATAAAATACAGTGTGTAGACAGAATGTTTGCAATTGGTGCATTAACTTAAAATATCCAGAAAACAACATATTGTGTGACCAAGGCCGTGATTTCCACTGGGTATGGGGATTTTTTCCCTGCTTTCTTTCTCAAGTCTCTCTAAACTGTGTCTTATTACAGTCCAGCCATCAGATGAGAGAAGACCCGAGTTAATAACAATGTTGATCCACTCGCCCGACTCAACTGAAGCCCTAAAGCAATGAGCATGAGCAGCAGAGAGTGCCCACAGACTTTTTTCCCTGAATTACACTTCTCCGCAAACATACAGGCTGCCTTATTAGAGAAGGTTGTTGTGGTTGAAAGCAGCCTGATAAGAATACCTGAAGACACTACTCAGGGCTTAATAAAAAATGTTTTCAGGTACAAAAAAACCCCCCCCTATTAAGTCTGTATTTTATTTAATCTCCTAAAAAGACACTGGACTTAAACAGCAGTCAGAGAAAAGATAGTTACAGACACATTGTATTGTATGAAGGCAGAATATAAAGTATTACTTGTTGTCCATGTCCAGCATCGCAATGAGCAGTCTTCAGAAACAGTGAGGAATTCTGGGAGTCCTTCTTTGCGAATGACTCCGTGTATCGCCCCACTGTGACCCTGGAAGGTGCTGAAGTGCTCCACCTGTACATAAACATACAGAATGTGAGAAAGGTTCGACAAAAACACTCTTATTAGGGAGTCATCTTTGCTCTGCATCTAGATTTTAACCAAATTTGACACTAAAACAGAAATTAATATGAGAAAAAACCCTTTTGATTTTATTTTGACTGACAGACCTGTAGTGGTTTCCAGAGCTGCACTGTGCCATCGTCAGACGCGGTGAAAACAGTCATTTCTGCTGCGTTGACTTCTTTGTTTTTGTCTTAAAAACAATGCAGGAATCACTATTAATATCAAACTAAGGCTTGGTCACTCATTATACTGTCCAATATGAAATAAACAGGGATGCGTGCCCTCGGGAACTCACCTGTATTTGGTAGGAGAGAGCAGTGGTGGATACGCTGCTTGTGTGCAGCAATGTGGCAGATTTCTGTGTTTGTTTCCCAGGTCCAAACATGTAGCGCTCCCTCTGCACAGCCGGCAATCACATACTGTCCCTGCACAAAGAAACATCAACAAGTTAACACAGTTAAAAAAGAAAAAATAATGAGGCTGAAGTCTATATTATATAGCCAGCTCAGACCTGCAGTCTCAACACTATACACAAAATACAGAGCTCATTTACTCCATCTATACATCAATTAAAAGCATAGGTTTTTTTAGGAGAGGAGGAAACAACACATACTGTATTTTCTGATAGATAGATGTTTAATTTGCTCACCAGACAGCAGATGGATGTAAGAGGACTCCTCCAGGAGATTTCTTTGAGTTGTTGGCCCGCCTGCAGATCCCACAAACACAGCCTCCCATCGTTTGAAGAACTAATCTGGAACCGAAAAGGAAGGTTGATGAAGACCCACGTAGCACAGCACAGTAATATGATTCTGTCGGGTAATACTCTGTACCTCAGGTTAGTTACATTTCTTTTACGACACAAAATATAATGAAGATTTACCACACAGTCTGGAGTCCAAACACAGCCGGTGATCCAGTCTCTGTGAGAGTGAGGGAGCGACTTGGAGAGAACAGCAGGAGAAACATTCACATCCCACACCATCAGCGCCTGAAACAAAGACGCCTGTCAGTACTGCGTTATACTGACCGATCCTACACTCAGATATCAATAAGGGTGGGCGAAACAACAGAAATACCTCCCTGTGTAACGTAATACAGTTCAACAGCTAACTACATCCTTCAAATTGATCATAAACATTAAAACTTTATAGGAGGACGCTTGTATTAGACTGCATTAGCTTTATCTGTGTGTACCTAATAAACTGGTGACGATGTATATCATGACTTTTGACGAAAGGAACAGGGAAGAAAGCAAGAAGCATCCTGGCAGACAGCACTACAGAGTCCCTCTGGCAACTAAACATGATTTTAGTCCCATTTATATTTTTAATTCTACAAAAGACACTGACACGAACTGTTCCTAAAAGTGTAATGGGACCTTATCTATGTGTTTGTTCTACTAACGGCTCATCTGTTTTTTTAATTATCTCGTTTTAGTGAGCCGAAGACAAATTTCCATCCTAGAATAGAAAGATATATTCTAGAATAGATAGTAAATTAATTAAGAAACTGTTGATGAATAAAATAATCTGACTGTTTTCAACAATGAACTAATACACTCATTGATATTTCATATATTGTGTCATATTCTCAGCAAATGTTTTGTGTTAAAACAGTCAGTGTTGGTATCAAAAGCAAAATCCTGATATTGTCACAACACTGCAGCACAAACACATCGTACCTTATCTTTTCCACCGGACAGCAGCTGTCCACCATCTGGGCTGAAAGTCAGACAAGTGACTCCCCCACCGTGGCCCCTCAGCACTGCATGAGGCTCAATCAAGGGGTTGATGGCCAGCTCACTCAACAACCACAGGACAATGGTGAAGTCATCTAATTCAACGGGATTAATAAAACAGTCATTAGCACAAAGTGTGATGTTTAAAGTTTGTTTAAAGAAGAGGAGACTGGCAATATAACCTTCTATCTGAGAAATATATTGGAAACCGTTATAGAATTTCTTTGTGGAGTCCGAGGACGTGTAAGTAACACTTACCTGAAGCTGTGGCCAGGTATGTAGAGTTTTGTGCTAATGCCAGGATGACTCCTTGCACACAGAACAATCCCACCGTTTCCAGGCCTCCCTGCATCCCCTCCTCTCCATCTATACTCTTCCAGACCCGCAGAAGTTTGTCGCTTCCTGCAGACACCAGCAGCTCGGGTTCGGTCGGCTCTGCGTTCAGAACGACCCACAGCATGCACAGTACTGACAGGTCACGGTCCTTGGAGGCCCAAATCTTCTCAGCTACGATTAAAATAAAGACAGTTACGGTCTGTTTGTGTAGTTAGTTTGTGATTTCTTTTTTTTAAAAGCATGTGATCTTCACGGTGTGCAATATTCATTCAGGGAGATAGGAGAGTTAGGAAAGAAATAAGAGGAGGTATTTTTAGGAGCAACCACTGAAACTCTTTGGGCAAGAAAGTATGTATGTTTTATAAGTTTCTTTATAAAGTGCAGAGCATGTCTGTACTTTAGGACATCTTCTCTGCGCTTTATTCGCAATAAAAGACAAAAGTCAGACAGTAAATACAGGCAAAATATAAGAGAAGGAAATTAAAGTAATAAAAAAAAAGAGAAAAAAGATATGTCTGTTTCTTTAAAGTTTCAGTCAGTAAAGTTTTGATCCTGTTGCAGAATAATTCAACAGTCAACTGTGAACTTACAAGGTTGTATGATAGAACTTAAGAAATTGAAGCCATTCATTCCTCAACTCCTTCCTTCTTGTTTTTCTTTTAGGCATCTCCTTCATATCTGTATTTGTTCTGTCTGATTGGGGTCTTCCAGTGATTCACATTCACATAAACACACCTGAGTCAAGACTGAAGAGTTTGATGCCGCCACCATGGTATCCGACAGCAGCATAGTCTCCATTAACAGCCACACACAGAGCAGCGGGCTCAGACATTACAGACTTCCGTTTCTTCACAGGAGGCGCCATATAGCACTAAAAGACCAAAGGTGATGATCGATTAGGAAAGAAAATAATGTGTCATATATATACACAATTCTGTCAGATATAATTACACAGACTATGGGTGAAAACACTTATACACAAGACAAATAAGAAGCTTACTTCATCACTTTTTAAAGCTGTGATCGAACGTCCAAGTCCTCCTGACCAGAGCTGGAGCTGTTTTACACAAGGACGAGAAGACACAGCGAAAGTGACAATGTGCTCTTCAGAGGAAAAAGGTGCAGGAGCAAAGGTGCAAAGGACTGCAAAGTGTTCCAAATAGAAATCTGAAAAAAGGCAGTATTCTAGTGTTAAAAAACCAAAGGAGTCTGTCTGTCTGTCTTATATATTTTCTTATATATTAAATGGCTGACATGTTTCTTTTATCTGTGTTTTCAGGAAACAAATATGTAAAATGTTCTAAGTAACAAATCATCATATGTTTGTATATTTGGGGTTAAACAGTAATAAAACCAGTACAAAACATTTAGTAATTTTATTATTATAATCCAGGAATTCTGGCCTGCAGTCTCAAGTTTAATTTCTCTGATCCTGGTTCAGTGTGTACAGTACCTTGTGATCGGAGCCAGCACTCAGCAGCATGCTCCCGTCATCCAGGAAGGTGAGGGCCTCTGTGGCCCCAGAGTGAGCCTGAAAACATCCCACGCAGGTGGAGGTGGGCACTGACCACACCCTGACCTCTCCAGATATAGAGCCAGAGCAGAGCATGGAGGAGGAGGAAGAGAAGGAGAGACTGCGCACTGACCGCCGGTGACCGGACAGGGACTGAGAGAGCGGACAGAAGAGAAACAGCGCTTGGTTTCATCTCAAGTGATAGAAAAATATGAAAAAAGCAGGCTACTTCTGGAAGAATAATACATGTAAGGCATGCACATTATGGATTGGATCTTCAACCCAACTTCTTCTTTGGCCTCTCCTCATGATAACTCACCATTACAGTTTTATTCTGGAGCCAGTTCCACACAATCACATTCCCATTCCAACAACCAGCAGCCAGCAGGTGATCCTCGGGGTCAAAGGCAACACAGTTCAAAGGGCTGATGCTGGGCAGGGCCGCAACCTCATGACCTTTAGCAGAGGACCACACCTGAAAAACATGAATTAGGGGATGTGTAAAATTTAATAACAGTGAACAGCATAATTTGATAGCGGTAAATTCTATTAAATATTTAGATTCCTCATTAACTACAACAAAGTGGTTTCTAGTCTGTTCTGGCATACACATAAACTAAATAAATAATAAATAATAAATGGAACAAAAAATGCAGCAATACAAACACCAGAAATAAAGTAAAGCAAATAAAAAGGTTTATGTGTTTTGACTAACTTTCAGCATGAAGTCCAGAGACACAGTGGCAATGTTCTTCCTGTCTGCACTGATGTCACTTGCTGTTATCACATTAGTGTGAGCATCAATAAGAGCAGCCCTGCATAGAGCACAAGTCAGTTAATGCAAACATTAGTAGCCTGTACTTTGTGAGGTATTTTTTTATTATAATTATTCTTCCAACTCCGACTCACCTGCAGCCATTCTCGATGTCCCAGATCTCTATTCGTCCATCAAAGGAGGTGGTAGCAAGACGTCCGTCCTTCAGGAAGACACAGCTTGAGATGCCGTCACAGCTGCTCACCAGCGATTTCAGTTCCTGTTCACAGCGACAAGAGAGCGATATTAGGCTTTTATCTCAGCATGTGTGACAACTTAACAGTATTTTTTCTCTGATATACAACATGACATGTTTACAAATATTCTTTACCTGCACTAAATAACATGGATAGCAGGAATCAGATTTTTTTTAATGTATACAAGAAGCCTGGTTTACATAATTGGGATAGGGGACAAGAGAAACTGAATTTTTCCAGTTAGCTTCCTCCTGGAGAAATACGTAACTGGATTTCTACTCTGGTTTTTACATGTGTGCATGTGCATTATAACAATTTCAGACAAGGAAAGTATTGCTGTGACTGCAGAGTGGCAGCATAAAAGAAAAGTATAAGGTCGGGGTAGAGGAGAAAACCAGGTTACAACCAGGTGCGTGTACAGTAAACGTGTTGCAGATTTTCTGTGCACCCTGATTTTCTGTGTGCATGTAAATGTACCAAATGTGAACTGAAAATGCTAAACACAAAAAACATGAATACAAACCACCCAGCTGGTCTATAAAGCCACAAAATGTGCAAAACGATGAGGTATAAAAAAATAAAAAATAAAACGTGCAAAATTTGTTCATACTTGTCCGGTCTGTGTGTTGATAAAATGCAGCATTCCCTGTCCAGAGCCAACCACCATCAGCTCTCCATCTGAACTCAGAACCAAACAGGTTGGTTCAGAGGAGAAAGTGGACACCAGCTCACTGTAATGAAACACACAAGACCATTGACACAGTCCCATATATCAATACAGAATGAAAACACTAAACAAGGTTAAAAAGACACTTATTCTAACCATCTTGCAGATACCTTGCTTACCTTGTCTCTTGAAGAAACTGATGGTCATTGTTTACCCACTCAACTACCCTAACCCCTCCTTTTCCCACCAGGCCTTGTGCCCAGGTGTGTGCTGAGGTCTCATGAGGCTCGTTGAGGGCTTGCTGAATGCAAAGAGCTGGCCAGGAGGAGAGCAGGAGGGCGTGACGCCGCAGGAAGCTCCTGCAGTCTTCTAGACGGCCCTGCAAGCCAACTGAGAGCACAAAGAGAAACTTGTATGAAGAAGAAATAAAACACTTAGGAGGAATTTGTGAGTTATGTATTTTTAAGTACTTACACGACGGTGCAGACTTATGCTTGGTATCTAAAAGAAAGGCAAAATTTCACAGAATACAAACATTAGGATTTTGGGTTTAGCCATCATTTATCAAGGGGAGTAAACCCTAGAAACAATTTTAAATGCACACAAGAAAACATGTGAAGGAATATAGGGAGAAACCACCAAACAGTGTCATGCATACTCACCATACAAACTGTAGGTCTCCAGGAGATGGTGCAGGAGGCCGTGGCGCACGTTCGCATACAGGAAGTAGTAGCTGGAGAGCAGGGAATGAAGTGCCTCCAGTTGGCCACTTTGAATCTGAACAAAGGCAAAAAAAAAAAAAAATCTTTATATGTAATATACTTGTCCTGACTTAATTTATTAAATTTAAACTCTAATATTAAAACTTCATAAATATGTGGATGACAATATACTATATGCTATTGCTATATATATATATATATATAGCCCGTGTGTGTATAGCTTTTATGTTATGTGTGGTGATAGAAGAAGACTAACCAGGCTGGAAGGCAGATGCATGACAGAGTTGGCCTCACAGTGAAGGAAGGTATCTTTGCCCTGCTGGTCGGCTAGTGCCCACAGATGAGCTGTATAAAGAGACATTGCAGTGATACCAGAGTAATTAATATATATACAGTCATATATAATATATATATATATATATATATATATATATACATACACACACACACACACACTCACTGGTGATGTATTAAAACAGACTGTGTGTACGTTACCTGCCAGTACGAGGTGAGCTCTGGTTCTGTCGCTTTCTGTTGGGAGGAGAAAGTCCTCAAAGGCCTTCTTCACCTCCGGATTAGTTAGAGCCAGGATGTCGTCAGTGTCGTGGCAATGAGACGGACCAATCAGACTGCAGATAAGGATCCAAATAGGTTTTTTCAATTAAATAAACTAACAGGCAAGTAAAGACAAAAACAGGTGTTGTGGCTAGCTGCAAGAATACTTTTAGATTATTGTTGGCTCTTTACCACTTTTAGGTCGTATGGGATTCATACCTTTGTAAACTGTGCACTATACGGGTGAAAGTTGCCATGGGAATACGTCCTATGGGCTTCCTGGACAGATGTAGTACTTCCTGCCATGTGACCTGCCCGTCCCGTGAGGATAGGTCGCTGCATGTGTTCAGCACAGAGTACAAGTCTCTCTCCCTCAGGCCTGTCGATCAAGAGGAAAAAAAGAGGAGGCAAACAAAGACAGTTAAGCAATTTACCGCTTTGGTTATAACATCTCTTTTAAAATTCATATACCTAACAATTTACCCAATGTAGCACTCAATAAAGATTAAAATAATGCTAAGAATTATGTAAAAGCATTTTACCAGCAGTGCTGACAGTGAGTACTGCCAGAGCCCAGCGGAGTCCCCTCAAGCCCCTGTACTGCGAGCAGAGTCTGTCCAGGCTGTACTGCACCAACTGGGCCAGAGACTGAGGCAATCCCTGGAGACTCTCCTTCAACTAAGACAACAAGTGTACGTTGTAATCCTTGTTTTTAATCAACAAGTAGATAATCATGTGGATGCACCAAGTTAAACTGGTAGTTAGGTGGGCTAATATTAGAATGAACATGTCAGTGTCAAGATTAGCAATATTTACTGTGCTTTGTGTCTAGTGCAAAAAAGCTTGCTAACATTTTTTACCTGCTAAACATTATCAAAATGTCATCATCATTATGAGCATGTTAGCATTTTAACTCAAGTTAAGTCTCACAGAGCTGCTAGCATTGCTAAGTCTTGTTTTAAAGGTCCAGTGTGTAACATTTAGGATTATTTTAGGAGCTTATTATAAGACTGGAAGGAGAGGGTGAAGCGACTGATTTGCAACCAACAATCACACTGCTAGACCTACACTACATCCATATCAGCTTCTTTACTGGTGTTACCTATTGTAAGGTTTCATGTAAGCATCCACCCAACACATAGCACTGCCACAGCCCACACCAGTAATACCATTGTGGAAGTGTCTAAAAAAAGTGACATTAAACCTTATCAAAGGAGGCAAAGTTCCTCAGGTCTTCACAGGCCAGCTGCAGGTAGAGAGGACTCACTGCTCCCTTCTTCATGATCAGCGTCTGGAGCTGGACAACCAAACACAGCATAGCTTTTGTTAGTGTAGGGCAAACTGATGAGTATCAATGGCAGCGCCACGCACCGACACAGAATTTTAAACATTGTGAAGTCTACAGTGCAAAACTTATAAGAAGAACCTGGTTGTTGAATGCAGAATCACTGAGTTTCTTCCCGAACGTGTCCAGGCCCTTCTGAACTATCTCCTTCCGGTCTGGCATGGTAAGCTGTCCCAAGGCAAACAGGACAGTGCTTTTTTTCTTGGCCAGGGTTTGTATCAGTGCCACTTTGGATGTGATGCTCACTACCAAACAAACACCCTGAGAAGAAAAAGAGAAATTTCTTGTTTTATTGTTGCAGAGAAGTGCCTAAAAATCCATCCATAAAGAAAGCAACCAGTGTAGAGAAGCTGCTCAGAACATTGCTCACTCTAATCCCATAAATACAATACCTTTTTGTCTTGCATTCAAATCACACAAACTTATGATGATTCATGTTTCAGCAGCTTGAAGAAATCCATGTAACTGACCTGTGGAAGCTGCTGTGGTATCCAATCAGAGCTCAGCTGACCTCTGCCATCTCGGACCAGATCCACCCCATCAACTACCAGCACCAGAGGTTTTTCCTTCTTCATGTCACTCAAGCTGGAGTGAAATTCTGACAACAAATCTCTGTGATAAGAAAAAGAAAAAGCAATACTTGTTAGTGCGTTGGCAATATGATGTATCTGTAAGTCTATTAATCTATTCATAACTATTTCAAGGACAATAAAAACATCTATGTACTTGTAAGAATGGGGAAGAGGTGATTCCTCCTCGGTATCTTTTATCTCCCTCAACCACCGAATGAGACATTGAAGCAGGGTTTCCACAGAGCGAGCTGATTGGCTGGCAGCTGTAGAGTAGGAGATGACATCACAGACAAAGTTTGTCCTGGACTTAACTCCGGTCCTGAGGGTCTCTGCTAGAGCAGCCTGTGTGGAGAGAGATACATATGGGAAGCAGCAATGTAGAGCATTTACACAAGGTCGCCAGTTTATTAGGCACAGTTAACTAAAGATAATGCCGTCCAATAATACAGTCCTTACAGGCAGATTAATCAATTAAAGTAATCGTTAGTTGCAACCCCCTATATTGCATGTCATTCAAAATCAACCATGTTAAAATAGACGTCAACACATCTAACAGCTAAAACAATAACTTGGACACTGAATAATGATAATTGGACGTGTTTCTCTGCTGCAACTGAACAGATTTAATCAGAAACCCTTTGTTAACTTTACCATGAAGACAGTTTTGCCCTCTCCAGGTCCTCCCTCCACGACCATCACCCCTCCTTTGGCCTGGACCTGCTCCACTATCTCAACAGCCCCGACCAGCAGCTTCGCCCTGCCGAAGAACTGCCTCTGCAGCGCCCCCTGGTGCACCTCCTGCATAGCCACATCGAACACAGCCTCGTCCTCGTCCTCGTCATCCTCCTGCCACACAGAGAATAATGAGATGTTTATTTGCAGTCTACACTTTAGTTTGAATTCACACCAATCTGTTGTGACTGGACAGAAAATACCCTCAGGCCAACAGCAGAGATTGTACAATAAACACAGTACATAGTGGTGAACAGCAAGGTTATTATAGTAAATAAAAAAAAATTATAGTGGACCAGTATATAAAAGATGCATTATTGTAGATTAAAATACCCAACAGCATACTTGGGCTATATATGTACCACTTACATATTCAGGCATCATTAATACTGATCCAATAAAACAACACAGAAAGGAAGCATTCTGCATAATGAGTACTTTTACTTTAAGTACATTACGTTGCAAATACTGTTCTACTTGTTATAGAGTAGTTTCATAGTGCAGTAAGTAAAGCATAAGTAAAATTCCAACACATAGCTAAGTTTGGTTAATGAAGAGCTTGGAAATTAAACTGAATTGTCAGAGTAACTAACCTCCACAAACTGCTTAACTACAGCCATCCACAGGTCTTCCAGCACGGTTTTGCCAAAGTCTTCCAGATTTTTCAGATACGGTTTTCCCTCCACAACACCTCCCCACTCACACCGGTAACTACGACAAACAAGAAAATGATGACTTAAAATGATGTGGGTAAATTTCACTGATCTACTACTTTTAAAATAAATGAGTAGTATTCTAAAAGTGTAGTGAACTGCTGTTCAAATAATACAATAGGATTATAAATAAGATGACTCACTTTTCAACAACATTGATTTCGGATCGTATCCTTCTCTTCAGAGAGGCCATTTTAGACTCAGCCTCCTCTGATTCAGGAACAAAGTGAGATCTCCAAGCCACCGGAACTGATCTTAGAATCAGCGGAGGAGCATTAATATTACGACATAAAAAACTGAACAACTATTCTTTCTGATTAGGTGATTATACATTAATGAAAACATGCTTATGAATATTATATTCCATTTCTTCCAATAGATCCTCTTAAATGTTAAACACTGGATCTTTAAATTGACTTACAGTAAACTGTGTCTTACTACAGTGCTAAAACCAATTTAAAGGAATCACAAACTTTATAAAAACATCCTATGCCCTTTTTTTTTAATGGATTTGAAGGGATTAGTAATTAATTCAAAAGACTAATTTATTCAAACTTAAAGAGTATAAAGAGAAACATTGTGATGTGTGAATGTGAGTATGTATTGCATACTTGATGATGTTGGGATCTCTGAAGTAACAGAACATTCGCTGGTGTTCAGTGTCGGGGTAAAGAGCCTGAAACTGACGGATCTCCATCTCCGTGATGGACAGGCCCGGTGGGGCCGTCGCCAGCTGCACATAAAGAAAGAAATGATTCTTCTTGGAGAATTTTAAAGAAACAGACACAATTATCCTTCATATTAAAGCATTAAAAGGCAGTTTGTTTTTTTGTTCCCTGTATCAGAAAATAAAATATATGAATATATATATATTAAACATTAATATAGCAGCAACTGAAACTTTCATCTACATCACTGAATTAAGGATTTACTGATCAAACCAGAGCTGGTGCTTGTTGGAACAGTGAAAAGATTTACAAAGACTGTTTTGGTGAGTTTTATTTTGTTTCTGCCCACTGTAAATGATGATATGCAAGGTAAAATTACCGTTTTTGTCAATGGAGTTTGGTGGAGAGTGATAGCGATATAACAGATGTTTCTGGTTAAGCAAAATGTCCATCTCTGTAGGGATCATTTATTGTTGTCAGACACTTATAATAACAATCTGAGACGTTCAGTGACCAAAACAAGCCGTGTTAGTGGACATTGACTGGCGTATTTGTCCCCAAGGAATAACCAACATTACATGGCATCCATTTTAGCCCGGTTTGCTGCTATTTTCTCACCTAACTGTGTGAGTTAAGGGTTTATATCGAAGAAACCAGAGCTGGTGATTGTTGAAAAGACTGTGGAAAAACTAACAAAGACGGTATTGGTGAGTTTTATTTAGTTTCTGTCCAGTTCGAAGTGTGTATCACAATCTTTGCTTATCTGCTAGATAAAATGACTGGTTTTGTCTATAGAGTCTGGTTGACTGTATGCTGGTGCTCCAGTGCGACATCTAGTGGCAATCTCTTGTAAATGACCTTTAAGGTAAGCCAATTTTAATAACCAATATAAAAACAGTTTTTTGCATCAGTACTTCATTTATATATTTAAGTAGCACTGGGCACATTGTGTACACAGCTCTACTTATAAATTAATTCTATTTCATAATGTCCAGTCTTACCCAGCTGTACTGCGGCAGGTCAGGGAGGTCGGGTTTGGGAGGCACCAGGCCGTACCTCTCCCCCAGGATTCCTACCAGCATCTGGCTGCGACACACCTCTGACAGGCACAGCTCGGTGGCCCGCCCCGACTCCTCCTCTGTCACACCCCAACGCAGCTCCACCTCCTGCAGGTAGAGGCAGTGTGGCGCAGCACGACGCCGGAGCTCTGGGAACACGCTCCGCACCAAGATGTCGCGTTCAGCGTGCATGTCTCTGAAGGTGGAGGAGATGAACACACGTACACCTCGCCACCTGAAGGACAGAGAAAGCAGTTGGTGTTGAACTAATGACGAAAAGGCATCTTCAATGTTAAGAGTCAAGTTAAAAAACTTTAGAATAATTACCTTAACTTGGGGCTCACTGGTATTGTAGAGATACTGTTGGTGGTCTGAGGGCCTTTAGCTCCCTCTGATGGTGGGATGTTGTACAGTTTGTCTAAATGCTCCACGTGGTCAAGCAACCTGGATGATCCTCGTTCTGCCACAAACCTGGTCACATAGTTCAAGAGACCATTAAACATAGCGTGAAAAGTGCTTATTCACTTTCTCGGCGACAGTTGGATGAGAAGATTTATTCCACTCTCATGTCTCAAGCTACAGTCAGCAGTATTTCCTAAAATGTTGAAATCCTTGAAACAATAAATGAATGAATTCCTTCCTAACACTAACAATATATCATAATCAGAAAGGTCTGTTTTCTAGCACCATTAAGCTTAACATTTCTTACATTTACATAAATAATAAAATAATATTTCTGGATTAAAATGAGCAACCGGATATTTTACCTCAGCATTTGTTCACTGAAACCCGTCAGCTGCACACAGTTTCTTTCAGGAACGTCATCTCTGTATCTGCAAGAAGTCAATACGACAATGAATGCACTCAGGGTAAGTTAGAAACAGGAAGGCAAACAGAAACCAACACAATGCATATTAAAAAATACCTGTTTATGCTGAAAGAATGTTGTTAAAAAACAGAAATGGTCAGTGTTAAGGTCCACCAGTCACTGTGATTGGTTTAATTGCAACTTCAGCTTCCCCATATTGTCTGTAAGAGACTAAAGTCATAGCAGCTACAGAAGAAAATTGGAGCATTACCCCTCTGAAAAGTAGATTTGCACCTCGAGGGCTTTGTTGTTTATTTCCCTCTTGTAGTTGTTGATGGTCCAACTGATATTAGTTGAGATCCAGTTATCAGTCAACACGATGATGTTGTCCACCTGAAATACAAAAACATGTAAGGTCAAGGACCACAAGGAAGTGTCTTATACTGCTCTAAAGCAGCGGTTCATCATCATCATCATCATCATCATCATATTCACCATGACAGCTGGGACAAGACGTTGACATGGTTTGTGACTCCTGAAGTTTGGGGAGGCTTGGGGAGTAATGGATTACAGGTAACTGAGTCACAAAATGTTTTTTTATGATGCTAAAAAATCTTATTGTCATTTCTTTTCCTCTTGGTTTTATTTAAATATTTGGTGTTGAGGTCATCCAAAAGTAATGGAAAGTAATCAAGTTACGTTACTTTAATATTGTATACTTGGTTTAGGTTGCTGAGTACTTTTTTAAATGATTAATTGTATCAGATTACATTTTTAAAGTAATCCTCCCTTGTGGCCAACTGAAAAATAAAATATCTAAAGATATATGTTGCTTTAAGGTTGTTTTAAGGTCCTTAACATTTATTGTGGGGGCATTTATCATTTATAATAAATAACAAACTAAATAAAGAATATTGATCCACTTTTTATGTGTGAAAAACGAAATTTAATTACCCTTTAACTCTCCCCTAAAGACCACTGATTTAATTTCATTTTAATCATAAAACTGAGAATTATTATCCTAATAATCAAAATAAACTGTATGTACAAATAACCTTGTTATTCTTGGTGAAAATCGTGGAGAGTGCATCTCTGTCTTCTTCTTCTGGCATCTCATCAAGTGACTGTGAAAGAGAAGTGTTCATTAATAAATGCAAAATGAAAACAGAAACTTTCTTCCAAACACAGCTCATCTGTTATTCTACCAATGCAGAAACATCAGTCTTTCTTACATACTTCACTTCTGTTCATTCACTCTACAGGAAAGCTGAAGTGAATGCTTGTGTGAGGTTTTAAAAGAGGACGAGAGTAAATTTTCATTACGTAAAAGTCAAGATGGACACAGAAGGAAATAAAAGCGCTGACCTTTATTTTCTTCATCACACTCCTGACGTTGTCCAAAAGAACATCTGACTTCAGCTCTAATTGTTCACTGTCATCCCAACGAGTTAAGAGGAGCTGAAAGTCCTCTGCACTGCTGGCAATCATCAGAGAGAGTAAAACTGCCGCCTCCATTTTCTGAGAATGTAAAAGCCCGAGAGAAACCAGTAAGAAAAACAATATATAGTTGAAACAACACTAATTGAGTAAGAGTCAAATAGCTTGAATTCCCTTTCTTAATTAGAAGAAAACAGGCCCTTACAGAAGGAGTGAGCTCGTCATCCTCCTCTTTTTTCTTTCTCCCTCTCCTCCCTCTCTTGCAGGACACTTCCTCTTCCTCTTTCTCTTCATCTTCATCTTCCTTCTCCTCTTCCTCTTCCTCTTCATCTTCATCTTCATCTTCCTTCTCCTCTTCCTCTTTCTCTTCCTCTTCCTCTTCCTCTTCCTTTTCCTTCTCCTCTTTCTTTTCCTCTTCCTTATTTTTTTGCTCAGGATCTGGTGGGAGGCAGAAGTCCTGTTTCGGGAGTGGATCGGTGCTGATGTTAGAGGAGAGCAGGATAACGGTGCGTCCAGGTAGCGGGGGAACATTGTAACGACAGGAGATCTGAACCGCCGTCTCCAGGGCTTTGCGGTAGCGGTCCAACAGAGCGACGGTGTACTCCCTCCGACTGCGTGCACAAACACAGGCACAGTTACATTATAAACTTTCTTTTTAATCCATGCAGATGTCGGTTTGTATTTATTGTCTTTTTAGCTGACCTAAAAAAACTAATTTTCCATCACGGTGAAAAACTGCACTTTTTTTCTTTAAAATTTTTTTGTGAGAAGCAGTTTTGTTGTGATGATTTCTTGTTGAACATTTTCAGGATAGAAATATAATAACCCTAATTATAAAAAAGAAACTAAAAACACTGAAACTAACATTTTTAAACAATAAAAACTAAACTGAAACAAAAAAACATTCTGGGAATTAACTGAAACTGGACTGAATTGAAAACAAAATTAAAAAGTAAATAAAACTAAAAACTAATGAAAAATACTATAAAAACACTAAAATAACTCTATTAGGTATGAAGACTTTACTGATCCCAAGTTGGGGAATTCTTAACTCTACACACTGGACCTTTAACTGAACGTTTCAATTTAAAATGTGATCTAACAGAGAGAATAACTATTAACTATTATAACTAAAACTACTAAAACTCATACTTGGCATTTAGGAGCTGGGTCTTCTTTATTCGGTACAGTCGATAGACAAACGGCACTCCGAGCGTCACCCTGATCCTGCTCCTCGGAGTTGTATCCCAGTCCATACGATTGAAGCGCTTGCTCTTGGGAATCTTCTTCAGGATGCCCTTCAGGATCTCTTTAACAGGGGGGAGTGCCTGCATTGATGCTAAGGCTAGAGGACAGAGAGGCAAAGAGGGGGTACTGTAATGTGGTTTTTTTTGTTGCATTGTTAGAGGTTAGGCTGATATTGATGTATATGTATCTCACCCATAGTGTGAAGCTCCATGATGACTTTGTAGGCAGCGAGGAACCGGAAGGGAAACTGTCGGCTCTGAATAACTGCTTTCTGTGAATGCATCAAAAACACAAAGTTACACAAAGCAAGTGACAGACATACAGCGTAAGACTCTTCCTCTTAGGCTCAGAATACAACATGTCATCAATCTGGACAACTTTTACTTTACAGTATTGTAATTTTAGTTCATGCTTCACTCTCACCTTATTGGTCAGCCTGCTGAGGATCTTCTTGTGATGAGCCTCGCTGATGCCCTTAGTGATCATGTTCCTCAGGTTCCTCAGCATCGCCATGAATGGAAGAGACTTATTGTCTGCACAGTAGAGACATTATTCATCAATATGTGTGATCATGGACATGTTTGTGTTTAGTATTTATAGGTGTTACATGCATACATTGTGTGTTTTCTTGTGTCTCGTAAAGCGTGGCGTACTGGATTTGCATAACCAGTTAATTTAATATTCATGTATGCATTAGAAAATGTGTATTATTGCTTTTTTGATTCCCTATATGGATATATGTGCACAAAAGTGATTTTCCTAATAAAGCAAAATACCCCCAAAATATATATATTTAAAAAATAAGTACAATTTCTCCCACTGATACAGTAATTACACTTATTCCATCTTGTGAAGGGCTTATTGGAAGGGTAAAACCAGGGTCAGGGTCACTGTATCATAATGTGTTAGTCATATACAAACAAAATTTCTCGTATTTATGTTTGTATCCATGATTTGTTATTATTTTGATAGTACCCATGGATTTCTGGGATTCAACAATGTTTAATTGTTTTTGCTCTCAAAATTTGTGTGAGTGGTTGAAAGCAGTCGATTTAAAATAAGAACAAAACACAGTCTAAAAACTGTTTGCCCAAATGCGAGGAAACATACAATTTAAATTTGAGGAACATACAAAAGGCATGAATAATTAGAACAAATATAGCGATTGGATTATTAAATTTGTGGGCTAAAGAAATATTATTGACCGTTGGATAATATGGCATGCATTCATCTTCTTGGCAATGCCCTTATATAGTGTTTAAGGATCGTTACCTATGCTAATAGGTTCTGGAGTGGATTTCTCTCTCTTTTAATTTTTTCTAATTTCATATATTTTCTCTTAACAGAAAATTAAGACAAAATATGAGAGACATTTAAGAGAATGACGCTGCATTGCCATGTAAATTAAAGGCATTATTATGTTGCACAAACCCCACAGCCTAACATTTGTGAATGAGAATAGCATTTAAATTTTTATTATTGACACCATATTTCACCCATGCAATGAGCCCTTCACAAGATGGAATAGGCACCACAGAGACCCAGCAGTGCTTCCACTGTTCTGGACACCAAGCCTGTGCATGTTGACAAGGTGGAGCTTGAAATGTGATACAGACAACTGCTGGGAAATCCGATTTGAAAGAATTTCCCTGGATAAATGAAAGGAACAGGTTCCGTCTGTATGTACTCAGCAGACCTATGAGCTTCTCCCAGGTGGCGGCCTTGTTGCCCTGCTGACTGAGCAGTCGTTCCCAGGTCTCTGGTTCTTTGAGCTTCATCCGCTTCCCGGCCCTCTCCCTTTCCCAAACGCCCTTCATTCCACTGTGGGTGAACGTCTTCAGGTCAGCAGGATACCTGGGACCAACACAAGCACATTTTAAAATTGGTGAAGAGACAACCCCACGGTAAAGTCATCTGCTTCTACGACAAGAGAGATATCACAACAGGCCTGAGAATCTAACCAATGTCTTGTCTCCTTATTCTCTCCTCCTCTGTCTACATTTCTATCTTTACAGAAGCTTTAAGTGGGACATGTGATGAAACATGTAATACATGGTTTATAACACACTATTATATCGTTGTAAGCACATATAAAGTATTTTAAGTGTTTATTTATGTAGTTGCGACATTATTTAACGATTAAAATGTCATTATATCTGTTTATAATGTGTTATTAACAAATAAATGGGTAGGTAAAGAGTAAACTGAATGGCAGATAGCAGGTGAATGTTATTTATGGGCTTGCTCTGAGTGAACAAAAAACAGCCTATTAAGTGATTAAGTGTGTTTGTGTAGCTTACTTTCTTCCCAGGATGGCCATAACGTGTTCAGCCGGTTCTTTAATGTGAAGCTTCTTGATCATCTTCTTCATACTGAACTCACCCTGCTTTTTATCCACCACCACCACTTTGCTGCCCTCTGTATGCAACTGTGCACACACACAGACACACATAAACCAGTGTTTGAACAGGAGTATACTGCTATATAGTGTTAGCAACTATACAGCAGTAGAATATAAAAGTCGAGCTTTTACTTTTTTGGTGTTCAAAATTAATATTTTTATTACAATCTGCATGCATCCATATCTGCATGCACAGCACTTGTGGATGTAAATTAAAAAGCACCTACTGTCTAATAATGCAGAAGGTTCATTCAGGCCTTTAACTTCTAAAATTACTTTACTTAAATTCTTGAAATGTGAAAATATAAAAAAACGTAATTAGTGACACAATGAAAGAATATTGTATATTTACTTACAAACTTCGACAGAATAGATGCATCTGATCTGAGCAAGTCCGCCCACTTTTTCAGCGTCTGATCATTTGGTTTCTGGAAATCAAAAGACAGTATATGCAAGACAAAACATGGAGAGATCCACACCTGAGTGTCAGTTTTGTGTTAATAACATGGGTGTAATATCAAAATGAACCTAAGTTCTAACATTGAACTAATTTCCTGCTTCTGTACCTTGGCTTTGGGCTTGTTGCGGTTGTGTTTACAGCGGTGTTTGCGTGTGTTGTATTTGGCCAGCTGATACTCGCTGAACTGCTTGAACTTGTCAGCCATTGCCTTCTTCAGGCACATTGGCAGGGAGCGGCTAAAGCACTGGAGACAGGACATACATTGTTAAGACCGCACAGATCCAAACCGAACTGAAACATCCACATTCCACCGGACGCCCACTTACTGTACTATACATTCTGACGACTTCCAGCCAATCTGAGGGCAGCTGCACGGCGGCACAGAAGTATCTGCGGACATGTTGCTTGGTGGAGGGCTGATTGGCAGCCAGAGCCAATAAGAAGTTTGCTGTGATGCGGATGTTCAGCTGCTGTCGAGTGTAAACTGTCACCTGAATGGTAAAGGAAAGAACAAGCACACTGTAGATGACTGGCAGAAATGATTAGAACCCTTTACCCTCACAGCAAACACCGCAGATCTGAGGTAGACATTTAACCATCTAACCGTCTGTGGCAACCTAGAGGCACACCACACTAACGCTTCTAAAACCTTTCTACGTAATATCTTAATATGGAATAACTGGAAATCAAAATGTGTGTATATATTTTTTTATATGTTGTCATATTGTGCTGAATCTTCCCCTTTAAAATATTTGAATAAAATATATCTAAATATTTCTATCGATTTTTCTTATGATGAATTCATACATATTAATACAAAGCATGTTTCTTTCTCTGGGTTGTTTTTCTCTATTAGTTGATAGTTGATAACGGGATGATAAAGTCCCCGTTTGGTTGAAACATTACCGATTTAGAGTTAAAATAAAAGTTCAAGAGCTACAATCGAGTCTGGGATTGAAATAAAATTGCTTTCAGACACACACATCCACCCAGACAGACGTACAAACACACCTTGAGAAGAAACTGCGGGTCACAGACGGAAATGTCCTTCGCCAGGTTTGTGATCCTGGTCCAAACACTGTCCTCGGCGTCCCAGTCAGTCTGACCTGGAGCTGTGCTCTTATTGACCAGGGAGCAACACACCGCGTTCAGCAGCAGATACTGAGGAACAGAGGAGTTAAAGTCACTTTAATCAACACAGAACTTTCTACATTTCTATGACACCCAATACTTATTTTCTTCCACCTTTTTGTCTTTCAGCTCCTCTTCGATCTTATTATCTTCTCTTTCAACCTCAGCAAATTCCTCCTGTCTGATGGCCAAAGCTGGTTCGAGTTCCTGGTTGCCCGACTCAGTTTCCAGGACAGGTAATTCCATGTTTGTCCCAGCATCCTCCTCCTCCTCCTCTTCGGGCAAAATATCATCTTCCTCAGATTGAGTCTGACGCAGAAGAAGTTACATTGAAAACAGTAACACTATCAAATGGGATGCATCAAACATGGTGTTTGATAAATATTTTAAATAAGAATATAAGTAACACTAAAGTTCAGGGTTCCCATTCGGTTTAAGAGATCTTTTTCAAGGACATTTTCCAGGAGTTTTTCTTGACAAAGGAAGACAGCACTTGCTCACAAATGGTAGCCATCATTTATTGGACACGCTTGGCTGTTCTCACCACAGCCAATTCTGATTCTTAATAATACTAACTAAGGCTCTGTGCCATTTAGTGTAGCTGGGCCTTTTCTAGTGAGCCAACAGGCTCCGTGACTCTTTTTGACGTGAATGGAACGTAACCTTAATTGATAACACCCGTGTTTACACTACTATTTCCCACTAATTCCTCTAACAGTAACAACAAGCCTGCAAAGCACAGGCTAAAATACAATTATAATTTTCCAGGACAACAATATTTGAGTCAATTCCCAGGTGTTTCCATGACTGGAAAACTAGTCTCTAAATTTCCAGGTTTTCCAGGATGCTTGGGAACTCAGTTTGTGCAAACAGACAAATGGTCAAAATGTAAAATAGAACAAATCATGTACCACACTTGTTTCTTCAAAAAAGGACTGCATCATTTCACATGTCTCCACTCTGCCTTCGTGTTCTCCGTCATCCCTCTTCTTCTGTTCTCCACCCACAACGTGATGTAGGAACGCAGGAGGGTGAGCAAAGCGACTCAGCAGAGTACTGCCGGCCAGCGAGGTGCAGAGCAGAGAGTCATTAGGGACAGAGGTCAGGGAAAAAGAGAGAGATGAATGGCTTTCTAGGAGCTTGTTCTCGGTGCTGAGGAGAGGAGAGGTGAGGGAAGAGGCGGAGAGAAGGGAGGAAGAGGTGGAAGACAGGCTGGAGGGCTGCAGAGAGGGGCAAGAGGAGGGTTGTGCAGCAGAGTTTAAGAGTGGAGACCAGGACTGAGGCATCACAGTGGAGCTCTGAGCTAAGAACTTATTCTCCAGACTCAGAGGAGCGTAGTTGGAAGACAAACTTCTCCCACACGTGGCGTCCTGCGGCTTTCCGTGGGCCACATTTGCCTGCTGCAAAGTCAACGCCCTCATCTCTGTAAGGAAACAAATCAATCAGAAGGTCAAAGTTCGAGCTTCTCCTCACAAACACAATCACAGATAGCTTTAAGGGCGGATACAAGCAGCTCGGCAGCATTTTTCTCTGCTGTTTGAACAACCATTGTAGTACTGTAGTTAAGGGCGTGTTGCTTGGCTGAAACCATCCATAAAAAGGGAACAAAGTCTAGAAAACACACTCGGTCAAACGCTGCAAACCACAATCTCAGCTCTTACACCAAATTAAAACTCTTACACGGATTGAAAACGTTTAAATAAAGCTATTTAACACACTACAAGCCCTTTTTAGTAAGAGACTGTGTGTGCAGTAAAACCAGGAATTCAACTATCAGACAGACAATTACATCAATACAACAATGTCATCTATAAAATAAACAAGCACATTAGCCAGCATTCAACCACTATGACTAAGAGTTTGTGTGGGTGTGGTGGTTACTGGGGTGGTAACTAACAACCAGGTTAAACGCAGAAAACTCACCGTAATTTAAAGTCCACTGACGGAGAGCAGACTGAACAACGGTGTCTTCTGCTGTGTAATGTTATTGTCGGATGTACAGCAGTGTTAGCATCTGTTTCTGAGGCCTACTGAGGGAGTACAGCTCCTGACTGTTTATGTCCTCATCCAAACAGCTGCTTGACGCTGATTGGCCACTATTATTGTGTACTTTTTTACCGTAATAACACCTGTACGGGCGCCTTCAAATAATCGATCATTAAAAGTCGAATAAAGGCGGAATTTCTTATGAAGTGAGCAAAAAACAATGATCACAAACAAACACAACAGTTGCAAACAGGAATATGTCAATAATGTTTAATAGTTTTAGATTACAAACTGTTAGGGCGACGTGGTGACGTTACCGTAACTGACTAAAAGAAGGAAGTGAAATGTTGTATTTCCGGTGCGCAGCTGCTGCAGAGACAAAACTGAAAGAAAAAAGTGGAGAAATTGAGGCCAATAATATTAAAAAATAACGCCATGAAAGCAAAAATATTCCTTCTGCCCTCTTCCTATCATGTATGTGCGCAGGATGTGACAATATGTGTAAGGTTTTGTTTAATTTACCCCAGAAATAGCCAGTAAAGATCAAAGGTCAGGTCACAGATCTAAGGCTAAACTAATGCTGAATTAAAAGAAACGATGGAAATTAAGTCCTTTATCCACTAAATTTCATTGAGTGCACAAACATTACATCACAGCTACTTTTTTTTTTACACTATTTAATCATATATTTATATATATTATATGATGGATTAAATTAGATAGATACTTTATTCATCCCCAAGGGGAAATTCACAGTTTCCAGCAGTATCCACAGACTGATAATAATAACAATAACAGTAATAACAACAACAACAACAACAGGAGGCAAAATGCAAAAGAACCAATAAGAACCACATTTTATACACATATACATATTATTATTCAAATACATACCCTTTACATACATTTCTTATTTTATCTTATAATAAACATTAAGATTATTTTATTATACCTGTACTGGGCAATTATACCATTATTTGTTTTTATATATCAGTACATATACATACGTTATACATATAATTAATAAATGTAATTGCACAGAATTGTATAATTTAAATATATACGAATATAGGCTATATATATGGGACATGCATACATACTATATATCTTATATTTAGCCTATACTCTTCTATTTATTTACAGTGTGCAGCGACCTCCTGCTATGATTTCATCTATCTTTCAAGGGAACATTTAATACATGAGCTATTTATTGCACTGCCTGTTTATATGCAGCTGACTGACCATAACGCACCATGTCTATTTTGAAAAAGAAAGTACTTCAGTAAGTTTTCCTCTCTGTTGTACTGTGACATTAAAGTCTGGTCTCAGTGGGTCGCTGTGTCCCTGCCAATGTTAGGACCAAACATACGCCTAACAACCAACGATACAGGCGGCTGGGCTCGGTTGCCGGGCATTGGTAATTCCATAATTAATAACAAATATAAACATACAGCTACATCATTAACATGTCAACAGTTTTATGTTTAAAAAAATATCTTTATTGTCACTTTTATTAGATATAAGTCAAAAGGTAAAGAACATAGAAGAACATGGCTCCACTTTCTGCAGGTCTACATATGCAACATAGCAGCAAACAAACAAAATGTAATAT